CACAGTGCTGTGCACTTGTTCACCAGCAGTAGGGTGTGGTAGAGATAAACATTAAACTAATGAGAGAAAAAGCACTTTAACTTATAGCAAATTCAGTTCAAACCCTCGCTGGATCACTTGAACCTAAAGCTGTGTTCACAAACCCTCTTCCTGGAGATTTACCTTCCTGAAGGTTTCACCTCCAAACCAAATCTAAACCCTCTTCAGCTAATTAGGATTTCCAGAACCAATACTTAGATCACCAGTCCTGGTCCTGGACATCTTCTGCCCTGGAAAGTTAAGATCCAGCACATCCGGCTCTTTGATTCAGATGTCACTGAAGGCCTGCATTAACTGGAACCATTCATTAGACGTGGGTTGGAGCTAAACTCTGCAGGGTGGTAGACCTCCAGGACCAGGACTGGGCAACCCTGACTCAGATCTGTCAGTTCTGGTGGGGCTGGTTAGGGTTGGAGCTAAAGTCTGCAGGAAGGCAGAGCTTGAGGGGCAGGGTTGGTGACCACTGACCCAAGAGTCTACCAACTAGGAAACCTGGGAAAGTTCATGCTGTTTCCCAGGCCTGGCCCTGGAGCCACCCTGTCCTGCATAGTTTAGTGTTTTCCCTGCTTCAGATAAGCCTGATATAACTGTTCAGCAGATTTACTTATTTAGCTATTTCCTGAGTTGAGCAGGGTGTGATAGAGCACACAGCATAAAAGTATGCAGGAGAGGGGGAGCTCCAGGGTCATGGTTGAAAAGCTGAGCTCTACGGCAGTGGTTTTCAGCTGTAGTCCTGGGGACCCCCTGCCCTGCTCAGGTGTTATCAGGATTTCCACATTTCCTAAAATGTCCAGCATTTGGCTTTGTTTTTCATGTTGATGTTTGCTTTCTTCCCTATGCTGGCCTCCTGTCTGGGGTTGCTACCTCAGCTCCATAAAATTCCTGGACACTTGATCAGTAGCTTGATTTTTTTTACTAAATTTCACAGACAGGTAGCTACAGGCAGCTGTGCTCTCGATGCAAATAGACTGGTATCAGTTCAGATACAGAACCTAATCTTCTCAGTTTACATGCTGAAGTGCTGCCTAGAGCCTAAACATGTCACCAACAGTGAACTTTTCCCAACAGTTGTCTAAACAATGAGGGAAATCTGAACCAATTAAACACATTCTTTGTACACAAATGGTGTGATGGATAAAAAAGCAGTGGAAACATCCTAAGAAACATATGAAAGTGCTTGGTTTCCTAGACATTTTGCATCCAGGAATGGAATTAATTTTCAAAAACCTTGACAATCCAGGGAAATCCTGGACAGATGGCAACCCTATTTCTGCCTCCAGTGTCCTCTTTTTTGAAAATTAAAACATCGTCCCCTAACAGAGGGCTCACTGGACTTGAGTTGAAAAAAGGTCATGACATAACAAAAGTTTGGGAAGAAAGGACCATGTCCAAAGCTCTCTCTACCTTCCGTTTTCTGTGACAACATTTTCCACCCCACCACCGCCCATCTCTTCCCTGTTACTCAGTCTTATATCTTAGTCCTTCCTCCGTTGATCAAAGGGGGGCAGGCAGGGGGCACCCAGAACTCCAGCCCAGATCCTCAGCACTTTTTCTCCTTCTAGAGTCAAACAGGCACTTCTTGAACTACGAACATATGTTGAAGACATAGTCCAAACTAATAAACACTGCTCTACGATGATCTATTAAAAGAGCATTGACCAAATTGAGTAGCAGAAGTTCTAATGAGCCGTTTCATTCTGCTTTTAGGCACGTCCACAGTTTCCTTAAAGCTTCTTGTGCACTAGAGTGAACCTCCATGCCCGGTCACAACAGCAGATATCTTGATTCATTATATCAAAAACTATTCAGTGAACCTTCAGCCTTGCGTTTCAATTTCTGTACTTGTTCACTGAATGTGCCAAACCCTTTTTCTTCAAGAGTGCTGCCGACTGCCAGACTTCATCTGGCTATTTTTTGAATCCTAAAGCAAAGAAATTTCCACAGACGTCTGGTTATTTGAGTGCAGACCTCTCTGAAACAAAATTCCTTACAAATGTTTCAAATTTGTTTGGGTAAATGTGAATTTTGTGAATCCAGACACAGACTTTGTACTCAGCAAGGTCTGCAGGGTTAACTGGTGTGGCTTTTAACCCCCCATGATTCCTCCTGATTTCATTAAGAAGGCTAAAAAAGAAGGGGAACCTAACTTGTGATACACAGATGGAACAATTGAAAAATGTGAAACTGAACTGCAGTGAAACTTCTTACATCCAGCGTCTGTCAGCACAGGAACAGAACTTTGTTTGTCTCTATTAGTCTCTTTTTGATCTAAAATAAAATGGTAGAGTTTAAAAATGAGAGATGTCAACAACAGCAAAGCAGTCCAGATGCTCAACTATCAAAAAATAATGAAAATAAACGTGAAAAGGAATTAGGAAGTCAATGTGAAAAGCTTAAAGTGCTCATATAATGGAAAAACATATTTTTGTGGCTTTCTTGAAATAAAAGAGTGTAATGTAATATGCAAAGATTTAAAAAATTTCAAACATGCGGTTCACTCCCCAGTCTATTCAGACCGTATATTCAATGTAAGCTACTTACAAAACCATCTACATATGTCCCTTGTGCAAAATGTGCAGTGTGTTCTCTATAGAGGGTGTATCAACTTATTTTCATTTAGAAAATTGACAAAATGTCATGTAACCTCAAACCTTTGCATATGCCTTTAAGTGGAAAAAATATGTTCACTTAAGTACATATAATTAAGTGAATGTAACTAGTTACTCCCCATGTCAGCCTGCAAGTAATCGTCCTGATTTGGTTCTAATTCTAATCTCTAATACCTGTGTCCAATATTCAGAGTCTCATCAGTATCTGACTAAGTTGAGGCAGATTTATCCTGAACTCTATGCACACAAATCTGACTAAACTGAGGCAGATTTATGTGCATAGAGTTCAGGACAAAAGCTTGTGGAACCCAATGTGCGTAACTGCCTAGCAGTCTTCTGTATTATGGTAACCTCTTTTTCATGACCAATGGAGGATCCTGTCAACCCAGAAGCTCTAAATGTATCTCTAACTGAAAATATAAACTGCTGACATGTTACATAAACAAGCTGAGGTGACATATTATTGTGCTAATGCATTCTAAAATGCAAGTGAAGCTTTTTTTCTGCTGCTTTGCTTAATATGAAGAAAGATTATACTGAATCTAAACAAAGACATGCCACAATTTAAGAAGTGCAAAATCTTATATTACTTTCTAAATTGTCTGTCTGTATGTTTATCTTGAATTTGTTATAAATAGAATGTACATAGAAATATGATCACATGCAAATCATCATTGTCTGAACATTGGCATAAGATAAATGAGCTCTGTTCTGCTGGGCTGCTCTGTATTGTGCCTCATTCAAAAAGCACTTAGAGCTGAAACACTCCTTACAATTTCAGTGTGATTGGGTGGGGCTAAGCTGCTGGAGGCTGAATAGGTGGGCATATGTAAGTGAACTAGTTCTTGTGACATCACAGAAACAATGCATTCAAAATAGGTTGGTTTTGCAGTATAGTTTCCGTATATGGACTGAACAGACTAAGTAGCAAACCCTTTATTTCATAAAAGAAAGGGAAAATTTGTTTTTCCATAATATAAGTCCTTTAACTTTTAAAAGAAGTTATCGGAAAAGTTATTTATTAACCATCTTTGACAATTTCTAGTAGTCCATTCATCATGAAGTGGTGTAAAATGTAAAGGGCAGCTGCTATTTTAAAAAATATGTGATAGATCAATAGATCGACTGATTGATAGATAGATAGATAGATACATAGATAGATAGATAGATAGATAGATAGATAAGTGTTAAGTGAATGATTGGAGACTTCATTATTTAAAAGGAAGTTTCCAAAGAAAAGACCTTATTACCAAATACTAGCCTTTATTACTTAAAAAAGGACTAAGAATTTCATGTGAAAGAGTAATTTAATGTGTCAGTCAGTCACATAATCGAGAAGCTCCAACATGGACTTGCATGTTTTGGAGAGGCAGTGAGGAGAGTGAGAGAGAGGGAGAGAGAGGGGGAGGAATGAGGGATGGAATGTGAATCGCAGACAAAGATTAGGTAACCCCGATCATGTGATAGCTTGCTCTGGACAGAAAGGAGACAACAACTATCACCCTGGAAGACACTGGAGCAAATATTCAAGGTGTTTCTTCTGGTGTCCAGCCAAAAGCATATCTGACCGCAAACTGGACAGAGGTCATGCTCTGTCCTTACCCAGAGACAGAGCAGAGCTCAGAAATAGGTCTTCTAGTTTGCCAGCAAAAACTATTGGCTGTATATTACTGTAGAAAGATGTAGTGGCAAATGTGGGATGAAAAGTGACATTAAAGATCTTACCAGCTGTCACCAGCTTCAGGGAGACCACACGGAAGTGAATGCAAATTAAAGCTAATGAAAAGTTCCTCAGTTCAGAAACAGCACCCACTTCTGCTGTCAACAGGAGAGGCATCAGATATGTGATCTGCACCAGGCCTGAACAGACCTTGCCTCAAGAGCACTCTCTAATGGACAGAATGGGTTATCAACTAATAAACTCTAATGTATGGTAGGTTTGCCTAACACCTACTTTACTAAACAGGGTCCAGTTTGCCAAAAGCATCTAAGCCTAAAATCCTCGTAACTGGTGGAGAAAGTGTTCTACCCTTTATTTAAGGAGGAATTCCACAGATTTTCAACATTTCTGCACAATTCAGTGTTTTGATGTGAAATGGTTCATTGTAGAGAAACTTGCTGACTGATTTCTTCACAGTGGTAGTGATAAGAACCAGGGGTCACAATGTCTCCAACCTAAATATATAACAATTTTATTTACTCTCTAAAATGACCAGTGAACCTACGTGTGTCTTTTGAGTTTTTACATGTAATGTTGAAAATGGTAAAATTTGTTATATCTGAAAAACTGTTTTCTTAGGGATCTATTTTGCATTGCAACACCCTGCATGTACCACTTTGCCATGAATGGATTTTTAAAAATACTCTTTAGACCAAAATCTTTTTTATCAATGTCATCAGGCAGCGTGTTTGTAACCTTTTTTATGTAATAGCTTTTTGTGGCGTAGCTTTCAGCGGCATGAAATGCTTCAGACGTCTGGTTCTTTTCACCACCACTGTGGACAATTCTGACTTGATACGTTTCACTACAAAGGAGCATTTCACATCAAACCACTCTGAATGACTCTGTTTACACTTTAACAATATGACTAGGCAGAAATCTAAATCTTTTAACCTCATTATCCAGATTTCAGTGCCTGTACTATAGGCCTATCTCTATGTTAACAAAATATCCCATCACAAAACAAGATCAATGTCGCTTACTTTTTATTTTTTTATTAAAGCTTTTCAGCAGGTCGCTGTTAGCATCCTCTACATTTCTTTTATGTTTACACCATCTCAGCTGATACCCCTTGAGTTTAGAGCATCACCCTCATCAAGTAAAATAAGAGAAGGTAAAGGGTGCCACAGTGGTGCCAACGTTAGATGAAATACATTTTGAGGTGAAGTTGTGCAATGAGCTTAGACGAGATGGTTGGTTTGATTAGTTCTTGGTCAGCCTCAGCAACCTTTGAATGTCGGGTTCAATGGCAATGGTCTCAAACTTCTTGCTGTATCTCTTGAATGGCTCGCCTTCAGGGCCGATGAGGAACTTCTCAAAGTTCCACGAGATATCAGTCCGACTGATGGGACTCCAGATGAGGAACTTGGGGTCCTGCATGAAAGAGGTTGGGTCATCATCTGGGTACGGGAGTTTGTCTTTCAAGTATGCGAAGACGGGATGAGTGTTGGCTCCGTTCACATCACACTTCTCAAATATGGTGAAGCCAGGCTCATAGCCTCCCCCTGGGCGCACATGCTTCAAGCAGTTCAGGATTTCTCCATTATTACAGTTTTCCTGCAGGAGGAGGTAACAGAGCATGCACCACACTTCATTATGATAACTATTCCGTAAACATACAAAGCCATATTTTACAATATCTCCCTTGTATATAACAGATCTTGTGCATTTGTGGAGGCACTGTCTGTCTACTGTTGAATAAGAAAGCTCCCTCAGAAGTGGAGATTGCTGCACTGCAAAAGATGGTATCTTGTCAAGTGGTATGATCTAAAATCTAGTCAATATACCTAATATTTCTCTTGTTGAGATTGTTGTTCGCTATACAACTTGTTTCTAGACATTATTTACTTGTTTTAATTTTATTAAGTACAATTACCTCACTATATTGGCAGACAATTTTGTTAGCTTCAAGCATATTTCTTAAAACAAGCAAAAATATCTGCCAATATAGTAAGATAATTTTACTAAATAAAACCACTTAAAACAAATAATCTTAAAATTAAAAACAAACAACAAACTCAACATGAGAAATATTAGATAAATAGAATTTTAAGATACTTTCACTTGGCAAGGAACAGAGCTATAGACCACTTGTCACAAAGTAAAACTGATGATGAACGACCTGTCCCACCAACCTGGTAGCCGAACTGGTTACAGGGGAAACCCAGGACCACCAGCCGGTGCGGGTACCTGCTCTGGAGCTGGTTGAGCTGGCTGTAGTCCCGGGTGGTTGTCCCTCAGAGGGACGCTACATTCTCAATAAGCACCACTCGTCCTCGGAAGACATTAAAATCTACTGAATCCCCCTCCAGCGTTGTAGCACGCAGGTCATAAAACGTCTTGGCTATGAAGGTCATGGTCCAAGTTTGCCACAGCCTGGATGTGTGTCCCCTTCCCAACTGTCAGGCAAGACCTCCTTGTTGCCTGGCTTCCACTATAAAGGTTGGGTGTCAAATGACTTAGAAGAAAGCAGATATACAAGTGATACATGATACATCCATGAGGTGAAACACCAGAGGTAGGCCATCTCAGGTTTTAGTGTAAACCTGCACCAGTCTTTACACACCAGCCAGTATTTTCTATGAAAGGAAAATGAAAAAATGTTGAAAAGAAGCTGATATTGATCTTGAAGACACTGCTGGAAACTACAGTTAATATGAAGTTCACAACAAATGACTTGTACCTGAACAAACAAGTAATGACAATCTGAACAGGGGCATTTTTGACATTTTTATAGATGTGTACATTATTTCACCCATCTACTACCATATATAGTACAATACAGAGACCACGCTTCTACTTACTTTTCAGTCAAAACACCCAAAACACCCTCAATAACTAAATATCATGTAAAAAATTTCAGCATTTAAGTGATCTTTGTCTCCAACAGAGCTTCCATTCTTTTCGGAAGACTTGTGTTCAGTTTTTCAATGAAATATGCAGGAATATTTTTCCAGACCTCCAAAGTTCAGTTTTAGAAGTTGGTTGCAGTTTGGTTGCAGTAATACTCAAATACTTGGCTCTAAGCTCTGGGCGGTGATGTTCTGAAAACATCAGCAACTTCTTTGATTTGCAAATATTGCAATTTGACATCCTGACAGCTACACATTCTTTCAGACTCAAAGTGTCAAGTTGTTTTCTCACAGTGGAAGGATGGACAGAAACACCTGTGGATTTTTTCAGATCTGAGGCAAGAATGGAGTTTGGTTTTCTCCTCTCTCTCAAAGGTGAATGCTTTAAGTATTGTTTATCTGAGGGTGACCGTTCTGGTGGTCTGTCAGGTCTTGCATGGCTGTTATGAGCCCCGTTTTCTCCATATCATTGAATAATGTTTTAAGCTCTAGTTTTGGAAACTCCTGATTTTTCACTTATTTTCCTTTGACTTTCCACTTAATTGTGCAAGATAAATAACTTGTAGCTAATGGCCGTTTCAATGGAAGTTAAATCCATCCTTGCTATATGCTGCATGATAAAAAGGAAAGTTATTCTTACAATCTTCTTCAATGTAGCAGAATGTGAAGGGAGGACCACTGTATTGAACTCTGTATAAGCTTTAGAGACTGCATCCGTCTCTGAGCCATTAAACATTCAGCAAGTCATTACCTATGTTCCCGTGTCATTAAAAATGGATGTCTGTTCAATCTAATCCCCTTCAGTGGAGCTGGGCCTAAACTCTGATTCTGTTACACAGAATCTTTAATTTGACGTCACCGCTAATCTGCGAAAGAGCTACGGCACAAGCTGTCTAAAACATCTGACAATAATGATAGTCTGACTATGAACTGATCAGGCTTAACTGTTTGTTAGAGGGAGTTTTCACTTATCAAAACATGTTCATAATGAACACTAATTTAAAAAATATGCTACAAGTAAATCTTCACACTAATCACAAATCTTTTTTTTTCTACAATAAACAGTGCTTTAATATGTACATACATTCACACATACATTCAAAACGACAAGTATGGATCTTTGTTTTTTTATATAATTGTATCAAAATTATTTTGACTACAGCTTCAGTCCAATTCTTGGTCCTCTGTTATATGTTTAGACTATTCAGCTTAGTTTAGCTCAGCAGAGTTAAAATGTCAAAAACGAATCTCTCCAATGGGGCGGCTGTAAATATTTAAGGGGTGGAGGGTTTACCACAATGAAGTCAAAACACACCTCTCCAGTTTCATGGTTAGTATGAAGCCTTTTCACATGCAAAGCATTATAGGTAATTGGTAATTCAGTGGAACACAAACCTCTGAAGTTGTGTCATCATTTTGCCCAAAGAAAAAAAAAAAGGCAAAAATGTTCCAAACCTGATGGTTGGCATACATACAGTTTTCCCCCTGAATATAAATGGATCCTCTGAAATATGAGGTTGTTAAGGAATCAAAATAACTAACACTGTTGACAGCTCATCGCCAAAATACCTCACATAAACCAGCAAGTTTTGTCAAACATGGTGGTTAAAGGGGAATTGCACAGACTTCAAGATTACTGCATAATTCAATTGTTCAGATGTAAACAAAGTCATTCAGTGAGGTCTGATGTTAAAAGGTTCGTTGTAGAGTTAGAATTGTTCAGAGTGGTGGTGATAGGAGCCAGACGTTTGACTAAAAGCTCCCTCACAGAAAGTTATTACATTAGAAGTTATTATGAATTGTTATGAATACGGTGCCTGATGTGTGAAACATTATTTTATGATAGTTTTGAGATTAACTGTATTTTTTAAATACATTTGTGGTGGAGATGTGCAGGCAAAAGCAAAAAGACCCAAAAGAAAACATTTTTGTTTCTTTAAAATAATGGTGATTGGAATGATGTCTACAATGCAAAAATAGCCATTTTATTTACTATCCACAATGACCAGGTTCATTGAGCATCTCCTGAGTTTCTTAAATGTAATGTTGATGATGGTAAAATAGCAGTAAAAGGCTGGTGTGGCTGCAGGTTTTCACTCCAACGAAGCAGGAGATAACCTGATGAAATGTTTGAAGACTAAGACCAACTGATTAAACAAGTAGAATCAGGTGTGCTCCAGCTTGTTTGGAGTGAAAACCTGCAGCCAAACTGGCCCTTTGCGGATAAGCTTGGACTCCTTTGCTTTATGGTCTATTTTGCCTTTGTGCCCTGCACGCACACCTACGAATGTATTTAAAAAGATCATTTTGAGCTAAAAGATTATATAAAAACCATTGTAAAACAATATCTCAGATCTCATTCCTATCACCTCCACTGTGAACAAGTCTGACTCAGTTCTCTAGAATGGAGCATTTCACATCAAACTGCTCTGAATGACACTGTTTATGTCTTAAAGATAGAACTATGTAGAAATATTAAAACATCTGTGGAATTGGCAGTGGTAGCCTACAGGTTCAGTAGCCTGTGTTGGTATGTAACAATGTTAAAGCAAAACTTGTTGGTTTTCAAAACTATCATTAATTTTTCCCAAGGTCAAAACTAGCTTCAAACCCTGAGTATACAATGACATCCAACTTCAGAGATCTATCACAAAATTCAGTTTTCACACTTTCCAACTCATAACGCTGCCTGTTTTTTGCATTTTTTTTTATAGATCCCTCCAGTAGATCTTTTGCATGTTTTGTATTATGCTCCCAGCCAAACTGAAATCTAAAAGGGAAATAAGCAAAACTAGACCAAAGAAGTGGGATGTCATGACTTTTTTGCCTGAGGAATTATTTGCAGCTGTGAAACAAGATATGATTCACTGAGGACTGCCCTCTACTGGAGATGACCAGAAGTGCATTTTCCAAATGTTAACTGTTGCCCTTTGCTTCTGGGATCGAGCCACGAGACAAACCTTTCAAGAAATGAGGGGTAACACCACCTGATATCATGTGCAATTAAAGTAGGCGCATGTCCAAATGGTAACCATAACCACCTTATTTGCCTTCTTAACAAGTATGACATCTGTAGAAGTTGAATAATGATATCATGCGTCAGCACTTCCCCTAACATGAGCAGGTACTGTATTCATCCTCCTCCTCCTCCTCTTCTGGTTCAACAACTGCAAGGTCGTCTTCACTGGGCGGCAGCATGATATTAAGATCTTTCCTGTTGGCTTTCAGCACCAGCTCAGTCAACCGAGTGAATGACTGGGAATGACACAGCACAAACAGTAACACTAACCCTACATTAGTCAAATTACAGTGGAACTTCAATGGAATTGACACATATCTGCTACATGTTAGAAGAAGAGACAAGTATTCCAGCAAAGAAGGCTATGTTCTGACCTCTTTGATGTTGTAATTGGTACGGGCACTTGTCTCCAAGAAATCCATCCCATAACACTTGGCAAGCTGCAGTATGAAAACAGTTTGTGTGTCACACATTTAGCAAAATGCTTTTTCTAGCTGCCAGAACCCCACAATAAATAGATCTATGGCACTTAAGCTTGATTTCAAACTCTAAGGACAGAGACAACCTAAAGGCCATAATACAAGTAAGCCTCCTATATGTGAATAGTAAAATAAACCATGAAACAAATGAGTATGTTTAAAAAAAAGAGCATTACTCAATCTATGGTTGGCTTTACACAGGAAACTTTCATGCAACTTTAGTTGAAATTCAAGCATTGTAAGTGCTTTAACCTAGTGAAACAAGATTCATGAAACAGCCAATCAAAATGCCAACATATGTGATCAAGTCGAACAACATAACTTCAAAACGACTGATTTCCACACTATTATTTACAAGTGATCAGATCGGATTTGTGTCCAGACATCACCAACCTAATCCGCAAGGGTTGCTGTGGTAATGATGTAGGCATCAATAACTATGTAGCTATGCTGGTGATGCAGATTTCAAACGCAGATGCAGGAGAGATAGAGGTGCATCATCTCACCCTACAAACTATTCAAAATTCTCTGCCATAAGCATGAATCTTTGGTGCTCTCCTTGAATCCCTGCACTTCTGTCACTCCAGATTTGACATTGCCGTTGTTTGTCACATTCCAAGTGATGCAAAAGATACCTTGAAATCCAATTTGAACAGCCAGAGCATCCAGACTGAGACGCACCTGTAAAAATCAGATTGGAATCACATTTCAAACCACCTCAAAATGTGGTTTGGATCCGATTTGCAAAAATAGGATTTCATGTAATTTTTTACTCTTCAGACTATCAAATCAATCTGGATACAACCTGGATTTGCCAAAAATCAGATTTGGACTGGCAGTCTGAACACCTAACTGTCAAGTCACACAGAAATTATGTTACAGGCAACTCACAACATGCAACTTGTTGCATGAAAGTTTCACCATGTAAAGCATGCAAATTTGTTAGTTGCTTGAAACCAACTTTGAAACCAGCTTCTAGGACAGCATGGGTGAGACATCAAGTAAGCTAAAACCATAACAGCTACTTAAACATTAATTTTCAAAGGCTTGACATACACTTTGCAAATAAAAAAAAGTCAATTGTATAGCTAATAAAGAACACTGGATAGATAGATAGATTAAAGAAACATATATAGATACAGAAAAAAGGCAATGACAGCTAGAAAAACCACACATAGATGATGTTGCAAATATGTAAACTACACCTCACGGTTGACCTTCTGGTAAGAACGATATGGTGTATCAAAAATACAAGCTGCTAATTTAGTAACTGAATGAGTTACATGCAACTTTGGTTTTGAATTGCTTCATGTAACTGTCAAGTTGCCCAGAAATTATGTTACAGGCAACTCACAACATGCAGCAAGATGCATGGAAGTCTCACTGCATAAAGTCAGCCAAAGGCTTTCAGAACTGAATGAAACTGGCACCTTGCTTCCCTGCTCTGTGGCCACCTGTCTTCTGTGTTCCTCATCACTTTTGTTCCCTATGAGAATCTTCTGCACTGTTTGCGGTGCATACTAGTGAAAGAAGAACACCAGAGAAATAAAAACTGTTCTACCAAATGTAAAGGGTAGCATTACAGCACTGGAAAACAGAATCTTTGAATAGGGGAAGTTTATGAGAATGAGCCTCACCTCCTCCATGTCACTAGCCCACTTCACTACATTCTGGAAAGAGAGGGTGCTGGTGATGTCATACACAAGGAAGATTCCCTGTGAACAGAAAGAAAGATAATCATGCTGTATCTGGATGTAGAAAACTCAACAGTTGCTTTGAGTTACTACTCCTAGACAAATCAATCAGACAACAAAGATGAAACACTCAGGAATACCCAGCCAATGCAAAGACCTATACGCAAAGAGTTTTGTACACCTGAAGGTCTACACTTATGAGAACTTCAGTGATGTTTTACACATCCAGCATCATGTCCACATGATCCATACACTGACCTGAGCTCGTCTGTAGTACTGCTTCGTAATAGTCTGGTACCTCTCCTGCCCAGCTGTGTCCCTACGAAGGACAGATACACATTTTAATAATACTATGAATCCAGTGATTTGTATTCAACATTTCACTCACTGACCCAAGTCCAATGAAACATGACCATGCTGACCATTATGCTGTTTAATAAACCATGCAGTTGAGAACTGTTTTTTTTTAAATTGACAATATCCACAATATACTCAGAAAAGCATATTAAGGCATACTGTGATGCAAGTTATCATGATAAATACTGTCACACTGCCCAGCTCTTCCATTAAGTACAAGTTATTCATTTTTCAGAAAATATCCTTGAGAGGATTAGATACAAGATAATCCACTTGCACAAATAAGAGGAAAGAAAAAAACAAATGAAAAAACAGGAGATTCCTAAACTGATGTTAAAAAAATGCTGAAAGATATGGACACAATGGGACTCCTAATAACTGTGTAAGACCTGGTGAATCACCAAAACTGTCTTTATCAGATAAACAGTACTTGATGGGAAGAAATTAGGCTCCATTCTTGCTTCAGATTTGAAAAAATCTGCAGATGTTTCAGTCTATTCTTCAACTGTAAGAAAACTCAACGCTATGGGTCTACCACAAAGCTGTTTGAGAGAAAAGGGAAGAGACAAAAAAAAGAAGAACATTTGCAAAACCAAACAAAGAAGCTGCTGGTGTTCTCAGAACAGTGGACTGACCACCCCAGAGCCCAAACCTCAACATCTCTGGATGTGTTTGAGATTATTTGGATTGCAACCAACCAACTTCTAAGATTAAACTTTGAAGATGTGGAAAAGTTTCCTGCAGATCGCTCTTTTTAGGAGATGCAAGGTTGAACACACTACCGTAAACAAATTATATTTAGTTGCTTCAGTGTAATTTTCTGTTAAATGTGTTTTCTGCTTTTTCCTGATCCTAAAGAAAGGAATAACATGTACTTAATTGTCATTTTTACTAGAAAACAAGTAAATGAAGGGTGGTCTCTGACTTTACCATGGTACTCTATACACAGGTTTGGGCAAAATACTTTCAAAAATTGATGGCTGAATACTGAACACTGTCCAAAATGTATTCAGTTACAATATATAAAAGAGTGACATATTCAGAATACATACTGATAAGACACATGGGACAAATTCTGCTGTAATTTTTACTTAATTCACACTGTTCCTCGCTGTTACTGGTTGGCGGTTTTCGTCATGTAATTCCTCCGGTAATATGTTTCATGTAAAATTTGCTTATCATTTAAATTAAGTTTTTCTCTATCATCACCTGCTTTAGTCCACTGCTGCTCCCACAATCCCCCGAGCAGGAGTCCAATAAAACACTGATGCTGAACGTATCACTCGCTAACACGTCCACTACTAAAGGACTTATTAGTCTGATCATCCCTTAAACAGTTTTTTAACAATGTGATTAATAACTGGTTCATCACATTGATTTATCAGTCTACTCAGGCTTTAGCAAGAAGTTCAGTGTTTGTAAAGAAGCTGTTAATTGAGGTTCTTTTTGGAGTTCATCTAATGAGCATGTTTGCTACATGCCACACGCTGATTTTAAAACAGTTAATAAACAAACATTGATGGTGTGTCTTTTGAAGATTTATTTTCATTTAGTGGGCGAGTACTCTAGACGTATTCTGCTAAAAATATTAAAAGTAACTGTATTCTGAATACTGCCTTAAAAATGTAACTTGCACTGAATACAGATACTTAATTTCTGTATTCTGAATGTGTATTTCATTACATCCCTGCCTGTACACACGAGAAACTACTTAATCAAGTATAGACATTGAATATCATCCCATCCCTTACAAAAAAAAGAGCATTTTATGTGAACATGTTTGAAGAACCTAAAAAAACAAGTTCACAAGTAAACACGAGCTATAACGTGAAATGTGTGATCATATGACCTGATGTGAATAACAGGCCTGTGTGACCACGTGTGACATGTTACACCATGAAATTACACATGAAATTGTAAATTAATTCATCACGATGTAAGAAACCAATAATGGAAAATAAAGTGTGCGTTACATGTGAGAGGTCACACGTGGAAAAAGATGTAAAAGGGTCTGTTACTTCTTTGTAAAGAATAGGCTCACATTAGTGGGACTTCATTTACTCACCATATCTGTATTCGTACTTTGATCCCATCTATTTCCAGTGTTTTCATTTTGAAATCCACTCCTAGAAGAAAAAAGATGGCAAAACGTACAAACTCATTTACATGGCAGGACATCTGTTTATGCTAAAACACCGCAAAGGTTAAAAAACAAACACAACACTGCATGGGCTTTATCTGTAAAGCGGACAGCAGAGCCAAGATGGTGCCGGATAAAGAGCCAAAAAGTAACAGGCGCCAATACAAGAGAAATTCATGAATTCATGGATGTGTAATTATTTCATTAGGGTGAAAATTCAAAGTAAGCAGTTGTATCTTCAAGTTTCAGTAGCTCAAAGCCTTCCGGCAGGTGTCTGTAAGCTCTTCCCACGGTCTCCCTCACAGAAGAACGGTTACAAACTCAACCGCTAATCCCGGCGTCAATTTCCACAAACAGGAATCATTTCTTAGCATTTGCACTGCGTTTCTAGTATAAAAACATGCTCTTACCGATGGTTGAAACATGCTGTGAGAGGAATTCGTTGTCTGTAAACCTGCACAACAAGCAGGTTTTCCCAACTCCGGAGTCTCCTAAGAGCAGAAGTCTGTAGAGCACATCGTACTGCTTCGCCATAACCTGCAAGAAACGCCGCCAGGGTTATGCTAACGGTTAATGTTTCTGTTTTAGCTCCCCTCGGCGTCCCCGTCCTCCTTCATGTTTCCTATAATGAAGCCAACCGTCACTCATCAAACTTACTCTAAACTCTCAGAAGCCATTGTTAAACCGTCCAAGAGGAAGGAAAATAAGACTTTCCCCTCATTTCAGAGTTTTCTGTCCTCGGTGTGAGGGAGGGCAGCCATGAGGGCGTCCGTTACTCCTAATCAGACGTGATGCGTGGCAGCTTTTCCATCTCATGTTTGACATTTTCTTCTCTACTTTATTTTTTTTATATATATTTATGTTCATAGAAAGCCTTTAACCATGAGCGAAACAATATGCTGTTAATCAGATATGGTTACAGAAACTAAAATTAATTAAAAAATCACTAATTTTTATGAAATAAAGAGAAAAACACGTTTCTAATATACGATTACATTATATTAGGTTATGTGGTAGGTTATTATCCTGCTGAAAAATGGTTTAGCTGACTGAGCAGTATACTAGCATCCAAAACACAACATATGCTGGTTTTGCTGGTCTATGCTTATTTTTCTAGCAGGGTAGTGACACGTGATCAGGGATTTTCTTCTAAATAAACTGACAGTATATTTTTTAAGATAAAGATGGGTGGATCCGGGGTTGTCAGTGTAGTGTCTGCTGCTGATGTTGGCCTACAACTCAACCCTCCCCTAACTTTGGTATAACTATCATTAACACCACTGTCACTGAAGAAGCTCTAGATTATCTCTTTACTATCTTCCCATGTAATCTGGATTTTCTCTGTGGTTTGCTCCTGAGAGCTTTGCACTCTCGCATTGTGGCCTTTATAATTTTGCTGTTGTAGGCTTCTGGGACTGGTAATTGGTTGCTGCTTTGAAACATGACTTTCTTAACATCTTTGGTCATTTTATTCTGAACCACTTTTTCTTCAGTGAATCTGTCCACTGATGAATCCAGGCACACAGGTGAGTGGACACTCTCATTTTCACTGTTTAGGGTGCCAAACCAGGTTAATCCATAGCCAAAACTCCAGACTCACTGTTTTGTGTATGCCTGACTGCTTATGTATATCCATGTTAAAACTGTTCCACCCATCACATCCAATTTCCCTGAAAACTCTGCATTACAATTTCACAGATATTTTTACAGAATGACAAGTGGTTTAAAAATATCTTGCCAAATACAGAATGGCCAATGTACTTTGTGAAAAGTTTTAACATAAGAGAAAGGCCAAACTATCCATGAAGCAATACATTCTATGCTATGCTATTGCATAATCATAAGAATGCTATAGTGCCTTCAAAGTGATATACCCAACCCTTACCTGCACAATGACACCTGAAGATAAGGATAAAATAGTTTATTTGTAGTCTCATAGTAAAGGTATGCCTCAACTTGCAAGACAACTGTTGGCAGTATGTACAACATACCTGTAATTTCCATGGAATGGAATAAAAGCAATATCTATTTCATACACACTATCTCTTTTAAATGAAACAACTGAAAAGAGAAACATTCCCTAGCCAGGCAAAGATTTCCAGGGAAGGTTATTCGGTTGAGACGATTACATTTAAGAGTATACAGTGCCATGTACTACATACTGAAATGGACATACTTACCTGTACTTAAGAAGGAAAATATATAACTGCCTTAGAACTGCACTGTGTAACATTCAAATTCCTGCAGGGAATATTACCTGTATTAAAAGTTGTCCTCATTTGGCGCAGCAAATCAAAAATCAGAAGTCCCAAAACTATGAGGTGAGGATGCGTAAGAGTAGAGGCCATCTAATTCCACTTACAATCTCAGGCAAAACAACGTACTACACAATAACAGAATAAAGCCTCAATGTTACATTAAATAAACAAATTTTGCAACAAACATTTTCCAAAAAGGGGAGAACATCAGTCTTCTATACCAGTGAAGTGGGTTGCATGGCCACATACTACCTTTTTTTTTTTAATAAAAGCACCATCATATTTTTTTGTGGAAAAGTACAAATCTTACAAAGGTAAACTTTTTTAATTGACCGTTTTCCTCCTCACGTCTCCAAACAGGCTCACTTGAGAAATAACAATACAGGGCTGTTTTGTAGCTTAATGTAATTTGTGCATGACTATTGAGGAGGTTACAAAAGGTAATTGCAGTCTTTAACTGTCGAGCTGCCACGCTTCGGAGGAGTGTGTGGCTGGGCTTCATCCGTGTGCGGAGTTGGGGGATGAAAGGCAGAGACTTCAGAGCCTTTCTTGGGACCCTCCCCCAGTTTCTAAACGCACAAACAAGGGGAAAGCGGGAGGAACGGATGGTGGAGGGCAAGACAGAAAGGAGGACGACAGAGCAGAGAGTCTGAACAGAGGTCTCCTGGTGCTGGGAGGGGTGGGGTAGATCTAGCTGGGCTCCGCACGGAGCTTCTTCCTGGTGGGCGGGTCTTCAGGCTCTGACTCTGAGCTGGAGTCAGAGCCTCCGTCGAAGGCTGACACGGCGCTGCCCTTGGGGTTGGTGTACAAGCTGCTGTCTGAGGAGTAGCTTGCCTGGAGCTGCACGTTCCCCTTGGCCTTTTCCAGAGCACGGACTAGCATGACCGAAAAAAAAGGAGAATAAACAGAAAAAGCGTTAACATAATCAGGCATCAGCTGAAGCACTTTCATGCTCACTTCGTAGCCTCAAGATAATCAGTTAGGACTAGCGTTTTACAACCCAGTCCTCAGGGCCCACATTCTGCTCTGCCCCAGCCTCAACACACCCATCACAGGATCCTTAGCCTATCTGAGAAGAACTGCATTCACCTTGATGGTCAGCGAGAGTAGCTGGTTGCAGTCAGAGGAGGAGCTGAGAAAAGCTCTTTTTTTAAAGCACTTAAAAAGACATTCTGCTCAGTATGCATAATACAGCAAAAATAAAGCAGAAAGGAGTTTTTAAAAATGGAATCCACAGCCTTAAACGATGAACCATTATCTGAGGTCGAGGGCTTCAGATTTCATAGGCACTGTAATAAACTTGCTAAGTTTATTTTCTATAAAACGTTCTTCTGCTCAGTTCTGTCCTACTGAAAGTAGAAAGTGTATTTTCTTTATTACCTTATAATTATGCTCAGCATATTTATTCAAAAGCATAAATACAATCTCAAAGTTCATTGGCTAGATGTGTCTTGGGCTTGGACAGTTTCAGGCAAGAATTTTCATTTTTGTGCGCCAATCACTACACTGTTTTCTAGACTCTGTGCTGTACTCACTGTGTTTTTGCTGTGTTTTGTCAGCAGAGCTTCTAGCCAATGAAAATTATAGCTCTATTATCATCAAGCTCTCTCAGCTCACGTGGCCGTCTGAATAGGAACTGCAGCGTCTGGCTGAGAAAACTGCAGTCACCTCGCTCCAATTATATTGGAGACTTTAAGTCACGGTCTACTATGTCAGAAACAGCTTGCAGTAGTTAATTTCATGCTTTTCCTGTGTGTTGAATTAATTTTATTTACACTGGTTAACGTCGCTATTCCTTGAATACACTGAGTGCAATATTTACAAGACTGTTTAATTTACTAGATTTTTTCATTTTTCAGAACACGTCATCAGGCCAGCAAAGACAGTGAAACAGTCCGTTCCGCCATCATCGTCCGTAAGAGCTGCTGCTTAGTGACTTTGGTTTCCGTGGCTATGCCGTTAACACAGATTTATTTCCGGCTGCCAAAGCCATTTCTATAGCAGCCAGTTTGCTTACAGTTCCTAGCATGATGACCTATCATTGTGACAAGCCAGTTAGAAGAAAAAAAAAACAAAACAGATCCAGGTGATGATAAATCTGTTCAGTGGCGTTTTTAAGTCAAACAAACCTATTACTCCACTCTCAAATGCTGCTCTCGCAATCCTGCAGTCCACAACTTGACATGAACCCAAGGACCACAAGGCGTTTAGGGTGTCCCATTTCTGATTTTGCCAATCAAAGGGGTGCTCACTTGCAACTATGCACCCATACCGCGGCCTTCAGCTAGGACCACAACAATGCAACGGCCCGAAGGACCAGAGAGGACAGTTTTGCTTACAGCTACCTGGCCAGAAGCACATTCAGATGTAAGTAAAAGCACATTTGTTCATATAATTAACCTGTCATTGCACTGCATTATGCTTGTATGCCGAACTGAGTCACTGTATGAGCATGCCAAGTACCTCCTAGAGCAGGAATGGGGAACTGAATGCCAGAATCCAGCACAGTTTACTGATTTACCTTGATCTAATGCACAGGTTCCTAACCCTGGTCTACCCTGGAGTACCCCCTGCCCTGCAAATTTTAGTGTCCCTGGTGACAACACTCCCCCTTCAAGTCATGACAGGGTGGTTAATTAGCTGATTAGTTGAATCAGGTGTACTGGGAGCAGGTGAAACACTAAAATGTGCAGGGCAGGGGGTACTCCAGGACCAGGGTTGGGAACCACTGCTCTAACACATCTACTAAATCTGGTATTGAACTGCTGAGTTGAGTCAGATGAAAAAGCAGGAGAAAAAAAAATGATAATAATAAAAAACAAACTGTTGAGGAATCCACCCCTCCAGGGCCACTTCCTCACTCCTATCCTACAGGAATACTTGAGGCTAGGTAGATTAAAAACATGGACTGTTTAGTAGGCCCTGAAAAATAAGTTAAACAACAGGAGACCTTGCACACTTGCTCTCAACACCCACTTCTAAACATATAACTGTAGTGGGTTTTCCATCCACCAGTTTTTTGCAAATTTTGAAAATGTGGGGAAAAAAACCCCTTGAATTGAAGCCCCCAAAAAACAAACAAAAAAAAACAACAACAAATATCACAAAGATTTTTATGCAAGAAGGAAGTGGAAAAGTTAGAATATTGCTAAAGCAGAAATGTGAAAGTGATACAAAAGGGTGTTTCAAATCAACACTGACGTATCAAGCCATAAGTGAGAAATGCCAAATGTCCTATAGACAGTCCGGTTGCGATGCGTAGCTTTTTGAAAGGTGCTTTCAACATTCTGAAATGCCCAGAACTGTCTGGCGCGTTTGCGTTTCCAAATGTAAGGTGTATTTCGTTGGAGTGGCACAGAGATTTCCGCCCTCATTAGGTGTGCTACTGCTGAGCTGTAAACAACTCGGCCATAAAAAGACAGCAAATGCATGTTAAGATAATTCAACTTAAAGCAAAAAGAGTTAAATCTCTCCACCTTGCTCGTTTCGATGCAGCCCCTAATCATGGCAGCCCACATCATCTAAACTTTCTTCGCATAACTGCAGTAGTTGGACACACAACTTAATTCACGTTTTTTCTGTCAAAAGTTTGGAAATGCTCATCTGCGAAATGTCTGAATGGAAACACGGCCAGTAAAACATAGTGGAAAGGGTAGGCATGGGTGCAAGTGGAGCAGCGGAGCAGATCTTTTTTTGCATCAGGAGTCATGGCCATTCAAGTTCACAGAAGAATCTTCAGTGTTAAGATCCAACCACATGCCTTCATACTCAGTGAATAACCCTTCTCCTTGCACTAGGAAACCTATCCAAAACGTCCTACTAAAGCAGGGGTACCCAATCCTGGTCCTGGTGATCTAACACCCAGGAGGTTCAGGTCCAACATACCTAGCTCTAATATTGAGATGCCCTTCAGGGTTTTCATTACATAGATCAGATGTGTTACATTAGGGTTGTGGCCAAACACAGGGTAGCAGATCACCAGGACCAGGATTAAGCACTCCTGTACTAAAGCAACTATGAAATGCTCTCGGTTGGCCAAATCAAGCACCTAATCTGAATTCAACTAAACATTCATTTACTTCAGACAAGGCTAAAAGTCCCTGAAAGGGGAAAAACTCTCAGTTCCAGACTTCATTATTTGCAATCAAGTACTAAACAAAAGCTTTTTAGCTATCATAGTCATTGCCAAATTGTTAAATGTATGATAAGGGCAGTAATGTAAATACTTTCAAATTAAACTGACCATCTGCAGTTTAACTCCATATCTATGTTTTCATTTCAAACCCAATGTGCTGCAGTAAAGAGCGAAAAACAAAACTGTCAATTCCTGTCAATAAGAGATTTCACTGTGTGATAACCCAGGTAAATTACTATCCTCTGCACTACTCACCCTGCTGCTCCAGTAGAGCGTTCTGTTTCTTCAGGTCGTCAATGTCCTGCTGGTGTGTGTGGTTCTTCCGGCGCATGTATTGGATGTATTCTGTGGCTTTATCTAGAATCTGTGCTCGGGAAGCCTGTTTAATAGAGTGCTGTCAGCAAAGGATCACACTAAACCATGACGCAAGGTTGCACTGTCCATCATATACATTTACCAAAGAATCACTACTAAAAAGTTATAGGATAACCATTTTACCATAAGAATACTAGAATTCATAGATGTAATAATTATGCTTGAAGGCGCAGTATATGATATCAATCCAATAGACTATTTGTCAATTTCAGCGGATGTCTCCTCACAGACCACCAGCTCTCCATTCTGTGTGCATGCTGTAAAAAAAAAAAAAATCCAGTGTTCATACACAGCCCTGGCTCTGTGAAAGGGAAATAAACAAAGTGTCTCGGGCCAAGACACACAACACTATTCCAGCCAATCAGCAACAGGGGGCACTGCACGGGACGCGGGAAGGGGAAGGGCTACGTGCTGAACTCCACGCACGGTCAAGGAAAGGCGGCCGAGAAACAGCCAAAGAGGAGAAAATCTGAAGAACCAAGATTGAGAAAGAAGTTCTTAGATCAGGCAAGGACATTTCAGCGGCGGAGAGACCTCCAAGAGTTGACGGTGAGGCACTTCAAAGGTGGCGAGACCTCTGACAGGCTAAGCTGCCAAATTATTTATAGTTCCAAGAAATTTATAACAAGGGCAGTGATGTAAATACTTTCAAATTAAACTAATCTTCTGCACTTTAACTCCATATCTATGGTTTCATTTCAAAGCCAATGCGCTGCAGTACAAAGCCAAAAACAAAACTATAAATTCCTTAAGAGATTCCACTGTGTGATAACCCAAGTAAATTACTACTCACCCTGCTGCTCCAGTAGAGCGTCTGCTAATGTTTATGATAGCAACTGATCACCTTTGCAGCAGCAACTGTAGCAAGTTTGCTAACCCACAACCTAGTTAACATTAGTTACATTACTTACTATGTGGTTGCTTCCTCTAACACTATATCATGGCATGTGTCCGTTTGTGAAGGGTTAATGGCCAGAGAGATATTTATATATTTTTAAAAAATAATAATAATAATAAATAAAAAATAAAAAAATAAAAAATAAAAGGTTTGCTAGCCCAGTGTCGCTAGCCTTGGCAATGTGCACCATGAATTTGAGGGCAGAGCTTATAAAGGAGCACTGACAGGAGGTCTGTATGTTTTGCTGTTGAGTTCAAATATCAACAATCGTTCTCCAGAATCATATACTGCGCCTTCAAGTGAAAAGCACTTTAAAGAAGCTTTACTCTGCAGGACAATAACAATACCAAAACAGCTGCCTAGTAAACTATTAATTCAAAAAAACAACAGTTCATTTAGATAATTCAGTTGAACATCCCCAGTTATCTGACATTTTGTTGATTTTCTAAGTGAAAATGAGTTAACAAGAAACAAATACGGCATTTTTCTACAAATTTTAGTGCGCAGAGTCTATTTATTTGAAGCGTTTAACAGATTAAAATATAAATAATATAAAACGTGCCCTAACTTTTGAAAAAGCCACATTCTGTTTTACCCGCAATACGTTAAATTCAGCAAATAAACAGCAATTGTGCATTAAATGTGCAAAAGTGTGTTCTCTGTGTAGGATGTGTCAAATTATTTTCACTTAGGAAATCAACAAAATGTAAGCTAATACATACTAAGCTAATACTCCTCTGCATAAAAAAAAAGGAATCTCTGAACAATAATCACACGTGAGCAGTGACAAGTTCATGACTGATCAATTTAACATCTAATCTGGAAAGCAAACAAATAAGTGATTGAGAAATCTGAAATCCAACCTTCTCTCCTTGTAAAGAAGGCACGGAGTCACGTAAACTGTGAAAACTGTCTTTGATGTGGTCCCTGCGCTTGCGCTCCAGTGCATTGTGGTGTGCCCGCTTGTCTGCCTGAAATAGTCAACTCACATTTTAAAAGGATAACAGAACGAGTGTACTATACTTCCCCAGATGCCCCACATGCAACATTTCAGATCAAGTTCAAGACTCTACTGTCCAGAATTCCATCAATTTAAATCATTAATCTTGGGTCAAAATCCTAGAAAAAGAATTCTACACTGTCAAATTATTATTCTCTACTGAAAACAGCTATTAGACAACTTAAGCACACATACACATAAAACAGAGGTATGAAATGAAAACATGTAATAAAGAGTATTTGTCTCACTCTCTTCTATGTGCAAGTGCGCCCAAAACAAAATACCCAGTGTGAAAACGCTACAGACAGCATCACTTGATACCTCTCGTTTCTCTGAAGTGAACAAGAGCAGTCATTGACCACAAACTATTATTAGCCCGTCTCCTAGATGAGTGTTTCCAAGTCCTGGTCCTACCGTCTTACTGTACAGTTTAGTGTTTTCTCTATTTTAACAAACAACTTTTGAACTTATGGGCTTATTAACTGTCTATCACTTGTATTGGAGGAGGACCAGGACTAGTTGAAGAGGCTACAGAATAACTCATAATCAGAGTTTTCAAGGCCGTTTGGTGCTAATTTTACATCAGCATCTTTGTCAGAAACCAGGTTTGGATAAGGCTGCATGAAGGGGTGGGTGTATATTTAAAAAAAATAAATAAATAAAAAAAAGATTATATCACAATACTTTTTCACTATATTTTGACAATATCTTGACAGACAGGCATAATGCACTAGTAGTGCCACATTTAAAACAGCCATTAAAAAGTCTTGGCACATTTTTGTTTCAAAATTTCACATGCTGCATTGCACTAAATCCAATTAAACAGGATTATGCTCTCCTTTTTAGGAAACATGAATTTGGTCAATGTTCTTTAGTACTGATAATATCCACAATGCTCGTAGTAGGGCTGGGCAATTTGACATACACACACATATATATAAATATATATGTACACACACACACATATATATGTATGTGTGTGTGTGAATATGTGTATGTGTATGTGTATATATATATATATATATATATATATAATATATACACACATATATATATATATACACATACATATATATATATATATATACACATATATATATATACACATACATATATACATACACACACACATTAGTTATGGCAATAAAATGTCACAATGTAATGTTTTTCTGCATATCACCAGTATTGATCAACTGCATGTTTTATTATTAAGAGAGTAAAAAGTCCCATTTAACTAGATTTAGTCCAACACAGTATGCTAAATATTGAATAAAAGTCACTGTATTATATTACATACACAAGACATTACAATACATATTGTATTGTTTAATAGTATTTTAATGTAGCACTCCTGGTTCTTTTTTTTTTCCTGTGTTCCAACTGGTCAGATGTCTGAAAAAAATAAATACTGTGCATCGTGAAAATTTCTTGAAGTATCGCAATACTATACTTTTGCCATATCGCTCACCTCTACATAAAAGTATACTGTGTATCATGATATTGATAAAAGCTTGTCATATTGCTGACCTCTGCTGCATTATAAACAAATCATAGCCCTTCTCAAGCAATTTTAACACACAGCTAGGCCTTGGTGGTTTAGCAGCTTGACAAGTAACCTTTAAAAATACCGGAACGCACTAACGTTAGTCTGCACAGTGCACAGCTATCTCTGTGCACAGCGACGTGTTATTCTACCTTACGATGCCTTCATTTCTATTTTAGTGTATCAACTGTTCCTGTCGTATTTCTCATCATCTGCCGTGAAACAGTCGTAACGTTCACGTAAAAATGATAAATTAACGTCTCTATTTAAATTCCTTGCTTTATATTTCCTCCTCCACACGGAACCTCGTCTTACTCACTCGTTATTGCGCTGACATAAAAATTAGCAGTAAAAAATGTGCTTCTTTTAGAATAAGAGCGTTACTTTTAAACCCGTTCACAGGAGCTAAAATTCACAGAAGACGGTAGATAAACCTGATGTGCAAGACGAAGCTGAAGTCAGTTTCTTAATCGCCTGCTTGTTTTGTCGAATGTTTCCCGTTCCACCTTAAAAGGTGCAGCAGTTACTTTCTGGTGCGTCAGGCGCCGGAGTGTTACTGCTGCACCATTTAAGGAGGAACGGGAAAATTCGGAAAACAAGCTGGCGAATAGGAAGCCAACTTGAGCCTCGTCTGTGTATGCGGACTTGTGCAGATAGCTAGCAACCTTCAGGCTCCTGAAGCTCGGGCGTTTAGCTAACACGCTAAAGGCCAAGGAGCTAATGGTAACAGAAACGCTGTTGGAAGTCAAAAGGTAGCAAAACCGATACGTACCACTGGGTGAAACCTCGAGGATTCTTCCTACAAACAGAAAATAGAGTTAGGGAAGGATTACGACGCATAAAACGAATGTAAAGAGAAAGATGATGGAGATATTGCAAGCAAAAACACTGCTAGCTTTCTGCTGCTAGCGAGCCAGTGAGAGACACAGGGAGGCGAGCACGCGTTTTAGCTCATTTCACATGGTGCTCGCTCCACTACAGCGAGCGCTGATTATTTCTGCGCCAAATCAGTCGTAAGAGCCACCGCAACTCACGTCGCTGTCGACTTCGATGTCATCGTTATCGCTCATTCTCTGACTGAACCGAAAATGTGACTATATCGTGATGAGACGGCAGCTGCTCTGAGCCTCCACGGCGAGACAAGAGGGACCAGAGCGGAGCTGCACACGTGACTCCGGAGTTTCGTGAGAGCGCAAAGCACGCCGGGTATTGGAGTTCTTGAAGGAGGCTGCTCTCGTTTAGAAACGGGGATGGCGGTCATGCAGATGACTACATTAGAAATCTGGAAATACGTGCCAACGTCCATGTCAAAACTGAGGGTGCGTCACATGAGCGAGCGTGCCCAGAGCTGCACGTGTCACTTAAATCCTCCCTGACATCTGATATATTTATGTCCTCAAAACAATTTAATACGTCATATTAATATGTATATAATATAATATATATATATATGTTAATATATATATATATATATATATATATATATATATATATATATATATATGTATATATAATGGGTGAAGTGACTATTTGGATAAAATGAAAGGTTAACAAATGCAGTTTAGCAAACTCTTGTCATACTGGGAATATTTATTTGCAACGAAAGGCTGCATAAATTGTTTAATCTGAGCTCTTTTTCATTTTGATAGCTTATTTTTATAGCAACATATCAATCAAACATTCCTACTCCTCAGTCGTCCCGCTTACTTACTGTGGCACTGATCCTTACCTTCAAAAACTTAGCAGCAAAAATATCTTTCTAAATATCTAAAATTTTTGCTGGTGGACAACGTAACTAGAGCACATTGTTAGTGGTCCCTATGCACTTAAATGAACATATGCCTAGGCATTTGTTGGCCTACTGTATATTATAAAACAAATCTGAAGAAACACATTTACATATTACTGCCTACAGCTGTTTAACCCACCAATTCACCCTGCAGTGATAAGGTGTGTCGTTACTGTGTTTCTTGTCCACCAACAGACAGTCGGTGAAGAAGACAGTTGGTGGAGACTTTTCTTGTTCTCCCTTTTTCTGATTTTAGCTCATGTTTAATCATTTATCAATTCCCCAGTTTTCTTTTGTATATGATATGAATGGACGTGTCTTAAAAGGATGGTTGGCATCTGATTTATCACTGGGTAATTATTGTGCACAACAAATGCTGAACTGTTATTGTCTGTGAGTAGCACTATCATATTAAGCCAGGCTTTAAGTTCAAGTACTGAAGGAGTTACTGCAAAAATACAACACACAAAGTAAATAATGTGATTTTTGAATGTTTGACATGAGCCTCAAGCATCCATTTTTAAAGGGGAATTCCACAATTTGTTCAAAAAATCTATATAATTAAATGGTTAAGATGTAAACAACATCATTCAGTGAGGTTTGATGTATAATGTTCCATTCTTGAGGAACGGAGGTGGTGATAGGAACCAGACGTAACTCTCTTATAGAAACTTAGTATGTGAAATTGTTGTGGATACGCTGGAGCTGACATCAAATGTAAATATACAGCTTCTAGCTTGGCAGTAGCACAACATTGCAAAATATGATAGCTTTATCATAGCAGTGGTAATTGATAAAAAAAAAAGGGCTACTCAATGCATAGCAGTGTGAGAGTGGGAAGGGGGTGCATTGTCAATTTCATATTCAGATCTGTATAGTTCAGAAGACAGACCTTATGAGAGGAGCAGAGCAAAGCTCCTGAGGACTCCCCTAATGTTAACACTTTAAAATGTGATCCGAAGGACACATTGCCCTGAGCCTTTCGCTCTATCACCCTACATTTCCATCTGATGCACTGTTTTTAACACATAATTTTCAGGATCAGGTCTGGGAATGACTGCCACATGGCACATTTTATTATTTTCCCTGCTCCAACTCATCTAACTGAACTGAACAAAATCTTTGAGCTGAATCAATGATGTGCACTAAACTGTGCAGTGCAGCAAAAACAGGGCAGGAAAACACTGCTCTAGATGAAAGTTAGTAGTCTTGCTAAAGATGTTCCAGTATGCATATTAGTATTCATTAGTGAATATAGTTACATTTTTTAAAAAAATCTGTGATAGTAAATATACTGTCATAAACTAGAATAGTTTTCATTGTTCTATTGAAAACACTCCACAATCACAAATGTAAAAAAAAAGTCTGCCCCCAAACCCATTTACGCATTGTGTCTTCTATTAAAATGTACTTGTTTGTGTTATGCTAACCATACACTAGAAAACTTTGAAAAGACTTTTAAAAGACTAAAGTCTGAAACCCTTTCACATCTAAAGACAATGTCACAGAGTTTTTAGTCACAGACTATGATTTTACAAAGACTGGGACTCTTGCAGGGTCACTACTTGCATGACTGCAACTAGATTTTGAGATTATTTCCCATCATGCACCTGGTGGAAATTTACACGCAAAGAAACCCTTTTCCATGTCCACTCTGTAGTGGTACTAATGGGAAGACACATGGGCTGGGCATGTAAAGATCTGGGGCTCAGCCCAGTTCACTGTAGAAATATACCTGTAAAATGTGCAGTTACTTTTTTATTTAACATAAAGATTTATACATCAGCAGAACATGCAGTGATTCAGAATAGCTGATTGTGTGTTACAAACTGAGCCATAAAAAACAACCAAACAAAACAAGAAACCACTGTAACAGAAAGTTTAAAAAATGGAAGAAAAAACATTGATGCTTCCTCTGTAATGCCATTTTTAAAGTCCTCTGCACATTTCCTTACATCACTGTTGCAAGCTCAGTGAACCTGGAATATTAAAACAGATTACATATGATTATTGGATTAGAGTGGAGCAGATTTGCCGTTTTACAGAGATTTCAGGCACTCCCGCAGGCTCTCTCTCTCTCTCTCTCTCTCTCTCTCTCTCTCTCTCTCCGCGCGCCCCTGGCACGTCACTATTTGCATGAGCCAACACTTAAAACTTACGATAATATAAGACACGGTTAATTTTGTCGCAGCGTCAAGACGAGAAAAAGACTGACCCAAGACCGCCACCCTGACCACCTTACACTAACGATAGAGATGACGCGAGCGCGACGCGACTCTAGCAAGACTCTCATGATTTTATTCCGACGTTGGATATTTGTCTGCGACAGTGAAATCGCTTGAAAAGTCGTTTGGTGTAAGACTGGCATTAATTAGAGGGTGAGGCAGTCAAATTGGCCCTGTGTGTGTGTGGATGTCTGCCCTGTGAGGAACTGGCAGCCTGTCCAGGGTGTTTCCTGCCTTCTGCACAGTGAGTACTGGGTTATTGGGTGGGCTCCTGTGTGTGTGTTAATTAGAGTCAGGTCCATAAATATTTGGACATCAATAAAGTTATAGTTATTTTAGCTGTCTACCACAGCATGTTGGAGTTAAAATTAAATAATGAACATGAGCTCAAAGTGCAGACTTTCAGTCTTACTTTTAGGATATTCACATCTAAGTCAAGTTAACAGTGTAATGATTACAACACTGAGGTTGGGTGATAGACTTGGCCATTGCAGAACATTTTGCTTTCAAAAAGTCTCGGGCTGCTTTCGCAGTATGCTTCAGGTCATCGGGTCTGAATCTTAGCAGGTAATGTAGCTCTATACACTTCAGATTTCATCCTACTGTTTTGTTTAGCAGTCATATCACCAATAAATAAAAGGGAACCAGTTCCATTGGCAGACATGCATGCACCCCATAACACTACCTCCACCATGTTTGGCAGCTGAGATGGTGTGCATGTTGTTTTTTGCCAAACTCAAATCTGGTTCTCCTGTGTTTTAAGCTTACCCGTGGTTTACATCTTGTGATAAACCTGCTGTGTTTCCTCTGGTGAAGTCTTCTCTTGATTGTTGACTTTCACACAGATACGTCTACCTCCTGGAGAGTGTTCTTGATCTGGCCAACTATTGTGAAGGGGTTTTTCTTCTGTCAATAAAAATCGTTGTAATTCCAACACTGTTTACCCAATTTGAATATATATAGCCCTCAAATTAAAGCTGAAAGTCTGCTCTTTGAGGTTGTATTCATGATTCATGATTTTTGACATGGTAGACAGCAATAATAACTTTGTCAACATTCTAATATTTATGGACCTGACTGTATCTTTTCATCAGCCATGGCCTTGTTTTGCCCTTTAGAAATAAATAACATGAATATTATCCTTTCTTTTTACTTTTCTATCAAAAATGTATTGAATCCTGTTGCAAAAATCACAATACATATTGGCCCTTATATATTAAAATTGCAGGAAAAAGATGCAGGTTTGATCACTTATAAAGATGTACAAACTACTCAGTGTCTGATTCATGAAACCTTCGTGCAACATGGAAACAAGCAGAGATGTGAGTGCAAATGATCCCCCCGAACCATTTAAATTATTTTTTAAACCTGACCCACTTCGTCTCACCCCTCAGATGTGCGGATTATCTAAACAAAATGCACTCGCCCTCTGCAGGTTAGCCTCAGTGAGCTAATGGGCTAACCATGCAAACAATGCAAGACTTTTTTAAGAAGTTTGAGCGTAACAGAGCTACACAACGCGTGTGAGTAATTGCTTTATCTGGCTTGGAGTAAAACTGTGGTGTACTGCCTTTCTATTTAGCCTTTAGCATGCTAACGAACCAGCTAGCAGAGCAAAGCTGTTTCAGCAGTCAAATACAACAGATTGAGTAGTTTGTAACTTAAAGCCCTGCAAATCAAATGTTATGGTTTTGAAATGTTAAGGATTTTAAAGTTGATTAATGGCTGATAAACAGCTTTGTCTGACATTATTTTCAGATTTGAAAAGGGAAGTTTATCAGGTCTCAATGATTTCTGAGCAAGTCAATTCTGGTGTTCGCTCGATCCCTCACCCCCCGAGGGCTAATCTAACGTCTTTCACTTGAGCTGATAAAGTAATGGAATGGCCCTTAAGATGGCGTAGGGGATTCCCCCGAGAGGAAATGACTAGGCCAAGACAGAGAGCTTGTTAAACCCGTTATTGAAACGGGGTTTACGATGAATCGGCTTTAGTGTAAAACCAAGCCAGCCTACCAGCACCTCATTTACATATCATTTGCATGAAGCACGCCCTAACTCATACAGATGTTCAGGTAGGGAGCCAATAAAGACAGCAACCAGCAGCTCATGAGTCTGGCTGTGCTCATAGGCAGTCTGAGGTCGAGCAATGAGTGTATTGCTCCCCCCCTGCTGACCAAACGTCAAATTACATCCACTAAAAGAATGAAATAGGAAATAAGCAAAACGTCTTAGTTTGTAAAGAGGGTAGAAAGATGTGATTGAGTAGTTTAATTATTTTCCTAAAATAAAATGTATAGTATATTTAGTATATTTTAATATATTGATTTTATATATATATATGTATATATATATATATATATATATATATATATGTATATATATTTACAGTGCAAGTAATATAATTTAAAAACTCAATATGTCTTTAAATGGAACATGGAATAAGTACACCCACTTTTGTACTGGATTGCCATGTGCACAAATTATTCTTATTGTTACTTTTTATTTGTATCGTTATTATTAGTATCATGTTCTGATATTGATAATAGTTTAACAGCCTAAAACTATAACACTCAAATTTGCACACTCTCCAGACGTGAATTTGATTGTGCAGATATACCAAGGATGAAACAGATGAATCACAAAACTGTCAGTGAAATTTTATGATAAGGTTTGACCCTACACAATTTTGATGAATAAGGGCCAATTTATTGTTATATTTGTATGTTGTTACACCCATAAATACACATACACTTACTGTGGTAGTTCATTACATAAACACAACAGAAAGCTGTGGCACACTTCCTGGAGCTGCCTGCAGGATCAGGGATTAGGAATGATGGTCTGCAGTCAGCTGACCAACTGGCCTCGAGGCAGCTGACCAGTTTAGTCTGTTGCAGGAAAAACAGTCTTCTCTCCTAGAGAAATGACTGCTAACAAGCACATGCTGAGAAAAACACACTTCTTCTTCTAAGTTCTTCTTTTTTGTTATTATTGAATTGTAGAGATCAGTGTTGGTAAACCAAGCTGTTCTGTCTACACACACACACACACACACGCACATATATACACCGATCAGGCATAACATTATGACCACCTCCTCGTTTCTATGTTCACTGTCCATTTAATCAGTTACATTTACTACATAGGTGCATTTTGTAGTTCTACACTTACAAACTGTAGTCCATCTGTTTCTCTGCATAATTAGTAACTTTACAGGACAAAGACAAAACCTCCTTTTAATGTAAGTCAATAGAAGCAGAATGTTATCCAAGACATTTTAGGTCATTTCTTTTAGTCCATTCATCATGAAATTTACACACAATGTAAAGAGAAACAGGCATTTTCAAATTATGTAAAAAAACCAGAAAAACGATACATATACATATAACTGAACAAATAAATCATAAATAGTTCTTATGCTAATGTTGCTTCCGGAGTAACCTTTTTCGTGCTATGTGGTTCAGCACTTAGTGGACTATCTCCTTGTGGCCGAGCTGTTGTTGCTCTTAGACACATCCATTTCACAATAATAGAACTTACAGTTGACCAAGGCAGATCTAGCAGGGTACAAATTGCACTAACTGACATGAGGCAAAGGTGGCATCATGTGACAGTGCCACATTTAAAGTCACTGAGCTCTTTAGTACGACCCATTCTTCTGCCAGTGTTTGTCTATGGAGATTGCATGGCTATTTGCTTGATTTTACACATCTGTTAGCAATGGGTGTGGCTGAAACACCTGAACTCATTATTTAGAAGGGGTGTCTGCATACTTTTATAGAGTATGTTGCAGTCCCATGACAAATGAATAAAAAAATGGCAACAGAATGTGCTGAACAAAAAGATTTTAATTCAAATAGCAGGCATAATTTTAAACACAAGTTTAAGCAGGCTAATCCAGTTTTTAATTTTTTTATTAGAATTTTTCTCATTTTCTTCTTCATATCATATTTCTGTTGAAGCATTGGCTATAATGAAAGGCTGAGGAAGAAGCAGAGAGCCTGTAATTAACAGCTACTCAATTATTATCTTTCACACAATTCTCATTGATTGTGTCCCCCTGAACACAATCATAGCACGTCTGAGCGGACACACAGCGATACAGAGGCACGTACTTGGTGATCGCCTTGAATCTCTCTTTGAGATCTTTCTTCTTGTCAAACTTCCAGATATCTTTGAAGGCAAAAGCTTTCAGGCCTTTGCGTGTGCTCCAAATTTCAAGCATCTTCAGGATGCTGAAATTGCTCTTCTCATTAATGCAGGTGTCGACACAGGGCGAGTTGTAGGTGTAGAACACCACACAGCCGTCCTTTTTCTTGTTTAAGAGGTTTGTCATGGGGGAGATTTTAGGAGGGTTCATTAGAATGGACTCTGAGTGTCTTTTGTATTTCCCTCTGTCAAGTGTTCCTGCAGCAATAAGCTCTGAACCTTGGTACAGAGCTACGGTCTCATTATATGTCTGGTTCTTCACAGTGTCTGCCTCTTCGTTCTTTAGGAACTTGTTCTGGTCAGGAACAAAGTCCTTTTGGCACTGCTCTTCTGGGACGTTAATGGCTACAGCATACTGGCGCACAGCACCACTTGTTTCAACTTTCTGATAACTGTAAATAAACCAAAATAGTAGTAATTAGATTAGATATCAGGTCTGTTATTGTGTGTAATTTTGTACTCAGCGACATGCCTAAATAAGGAACCCCAGGTCTAAGCCATTTTTCTCTGTGTGAAAAATAAATGCTGTTAAAAACATGCCGCCAAAATGTTTCAAACTCTCTACATTATTATGTAACAACACCAACTACTCAAACTGTAGTTACTAATGAGCAACTTAACTACCACATTTGATAAAGCATGTTGGTTTGCATGGGGTATTTTTTAAGGTTGACAGCCTTACACGCTTTACTTTTGCCTCATGAAAGCTAATAATGATGCACATAGAATTAACATCATACACACTTAAAAAAGATGGTTCTTCCAGGGTTCTTCAGTAAAGGCAATGGTTCTACATAGAACCATAAGTTCTATATAGGACCATTTCATGCTTAATTGGTTCTTTGCGTGGTGAAATGGTTCTTCAGATTGGTGGAGAATGTGTTGTATATGGTTCTATTAAGAACCTTTTGATATAACACCAAAAAGGTTCTTCTATTGGTCTGAATGCTTGTAACAGTAGAAGAACACTTTTTTGGTGCTATGTAGAACCATTTTGAAAAAGCTTCTATATAGAATCATACACAATACACTGTACATCAATCTGAAGAACAATGTCACTATGCAAAGGACCATTTAAGCATGAAATGGTTCTACAGAGAACCATTGCCTTTACTAAATAAACCTTGGAGAAGTTTTTTAAGTGTATATGATGTTAATTCTATATGCAGCAGTATTAGCTTTCATGAAGCAATATTCATATGTCGACTCCTTAACAACCTCATAATTGAACATTTGCATGCCAGGAAAATCTTTCAGCCATTGAAGAGCAGCACATTTTACAACAAATAAAGAGGATTTTCCTTCAGATGAAACTACAACTAAAACTAAAACTACAGCTAATGCTAAAGCTAAAAATCTCATCTCTACGTTGTTCTGTAATGTTAATTACAGTATTAACCATTTCTAAATTATTTTTCATACAATAATAACTTATTCACTGTGGATTTAAATATTACAAACTGTTTGTCTTTTTTATTTTTTATTTCATGCAAGTTATTTTAAGATATTCTGTTGAGTATTTTTTAAGCATCCTGTGAACAAGAAGGGAATTAAAATTATAAGTAATGTACTGTAATGATGCAGTATAATATTAAATATTTACATTCATTTTTTTGCCAAGTTATCTATCTCGAGATCTGAACAGGTTTTCACAGTTACCCAGTGAAAACAGTTGCACAAAACATTAAAATCATTTTATACATACAGTTTTGTTTTGATATTGAGCTGTGAGTGTGGCACATAAATTAGTTTCATCAAAACTTCTCCTGCATCAAGAATGAAATAAAAACACCACCATTCCCTGATCATCAGGATAGCTTGTGTCTGAATTACATGTTCCTCAGGGCCACCTTTCTTTTAGCCTAATTATTCAGACTAATTAACTGCCACCACCGTTCTCACTGCAGTTTGTTGTCGTGATTGGCTTGTTATTTTGCAAACAGTCACTTCGGAGGATCCAGTGATGTTCAGAGGAAAAATGTACAGAAAACAAAACATATCAAGTTTGGAACACTTTGTTCACCGCATTGATTTTTGAAAATGGCATTCATTTTTCCCATTGAGAAAAACTTAGAACAAGAGTTTTATGGATTTAGACCCCTGCTTAGACCTCTTATATGGACATGTCAACAACTGAAAAACTGCATGCAGTTATGTGAAAGTTTGGGTGCTCTGCTCAAATTCCACATTTCATTTATTTTATGAAAAAAAAAAGAATAAAATGCAACATCTGCATGGAATAAATGCAAAATATATATCATACATTTCTGCTAATTTCAATGCACAATTATAATTTAGTTGCTGAATTAATACATTGAAAAAAAGCTAAAATAAAATATGGCATGCACAAAGGTTTAGGCAGCCTTTCAGTTAAACCACTATTTTTTTTTACAATGTCTTATAATGTCATGTGATCTCCCAAAGAGTTCTGGGAACTGGAGGCTTTGCAAATGCCAGAGCCAGAGGACGTGTGACACATAGGCTCATCTAAGCAGCTGATTGAGGGTCTGAATCTTACAAAGCAAGAGAAGAATATAAATGACATCTAACACTTTCTGCTTGTAATTTTCACTGTCCGAAATGTCATTAAGAAATGGAAATTAAGGAGAACTGTTGAAGTCAAGACAAGATCTTGGAGACCAAGAACAAATAAAAAAAAAAGCTTATAGACTGGACAGGTATGCAAAGCAGAACCCCCACATCACTGCCAAAGATCTACAGAAAGATTTGGCTGGCATAAGAACAATGATGTAGTGGTCCACTCTGCAAACATTCATCTGCATGGAAAGGTATCCAGAAGTTAAATGTGATCTCATCACAAAAATCAATGTCTGACGTCTGCAACACTTTTATAAACCAGAGGTATTTTGAAATCAGGTGCTGTTTTCTGATGAAATGAAAAAGATTTCACTGAATATCAGCAAATCTGGAAGATAATGTTCCACAATCAGTGAAGAAATAGAAGAAGGAAGGAGGTTAGATATTACAACAAGACAATGATCCAAATCATACCTCAGAATCCATATCGAACTATTAAGGCTTTGAAATGGCCTTCACAGTCCCCAGGCTTGAACATGCTGTGCATGCAAGACGTCATAAGTATTTCTGAAATAAAAGCGTTTTACAAGGAAGAGTGGAACGAAAAATCTAAATCAAGAATAGAAAGACTCTTAGCTGGCTACAAGAAACATGTGAGTTCAGCCAAAGGGGCTCTTACTATGTAGTAACTGGAAGGGTGCCAAAACTTATGCACATGCCACATTTTATATTTTCTTTTTCCAATATGTTGAATTTAGAAAATAAATAATAATTGTGCATTATAATTGACATAAATATGTCAAGTTTGTTTCACACAAAACTGATGTTAACTTTTTTTCACAAAAAAAATCAACAAAGTGCATTATTTAACCAGGGTACCTAAACTTTTGCACACTACTGTACAAAAAAAGGAACAGTTGTAAACAATTCTTTGTAACTCAGCTACATCCTGAACACTGCACACTGTGTGGTAGTGTGTTTGTGGGTGTGTTTTCTTTAGCCAAGCCCAGGTGAAGAAGTTGTGAAATATATTTTACATCTGCTCAGTTAATGTAAAATTATGCGCTTGAACAGCTCGTCCCATAAGATATATATTATATTCTCTTTGTTTTACAGCGATGCTGGAGCTACCATACTTACTTGTTGTTAAAGAACTGGATAATGCGGGCAAGAGTGTTAACATCCACGTTGTTACCTTCAACACTTGTGCAACCAAGAACAAGGAGGCAAAGCAGAAAGACTGTCCTCAGTGAGCCAGGCAGACCCTGGAGAAAAACACACACACACGAGCACAGGAAATAAACCAATACAATCAGAGATATACCAACCGCAGCAGTGTTAGGTGTAGTCCACTGTAAGATCACTGAAGACTTGCAAAATCAGTATTACAACACCTAAGCCAGCCTCAGTTACTATTACTGCTTGCTGGTATAACAGGCTATCAGGCTACTCTGATTAACATGGAAGGGTTTGCATGCATCATATTGTACTGGCTGCATTTTAGGGATGCACTGTATGTTGTAGGGGTGTAACGGTGTGTGTTCATCCCGAACTGTCACAGCACGGACATTATGGTTTACAGAGAATACGCGGTAGCCCGTGTGCAAAGATTAATGAACATAACATGTGAGTTCCACCCGGAAACCTTAAGTTCTAAGCCATTAGCAAGTTAGCAACATGCCATGCTAAGCTGGGCTCAAGCTGAGTCAGTCACACTATGGTGAGTGCAAATGACACACAGCAGCTTGAAAACCTGCCTGCTTCTTTCAAAGTGGAAAAATTTCAGGTTCCCAGTGAACTACAAGAGCGTATAAGAAAGTCTGCCCCCTTCAACAGCCATCTTTGCAACGCCACCGGGTAGTTATTTCCACTCACAGAAGACCGGCCTCCTATTTCTTTAAATGGGGAGAGATCTATTAAGCCTAAACTACAAGCCAAATCAACATTTCAAAAACATATTTGAAATCAATGATAAAATCTGACAAACACAGCATAAACATTTTTGGCTACTAATTTCCATGCGCATGTCTCCACAACGAAGGGGAGCTTTTCCCGCTAGCGGCTTAATCAGCAAGCTGATTGGCTCTTTTTATAGAAAGCTGGAACTTTCCTGGTAAACAGACACTATGATCAGTTATATGAGCTTTCTCATTCATTTTCCAGCCAGTGAACTGTCTCCTCCTTTATAATGTCTCTGGCAAAATGCTACCTGGCTGCACGTGCTGTCCCTCCCTTATAGCCTAATAGTTTTCCTCTGTCTTTTTGTTTGGGAGGGTTGGGCCTAAGCTTTGAATGTTTAAATATAGCCTAAGTGGAGCAAATTGAAACACTCCTCCTAATGCACAAGTGCTATTTTTTATGATGTTCATTTTGTACTTTTATAACATAAGAGTTGCTTTCAGTTTTGTGGCCAAATGTGACCTGTTACCTTTTCTGTTTTGTTATCAGGCCTACATATACAAATATGACCCATGCAAGAGTCTACAGGCTCCAAACTCAACATAACTTGATTTAACTCATACTACAACCTCTATCTGAATAAATACATATCAAACATACAGAAAATGCTGATAGAACTTGTAGGATTTTTAAGGAATCTATTATGGCATGCCAAAAAGTATAGGAGACACAAAAGATGCCAGCAAAGAAGAGCACAGAGATAAAGAGATAAACCTATATATGAAAATATTAACAAGTAAGGGTAAAATTATATAACTTGCCATATTGGCTGTCAGGAACCTTGAGGCGAGCTGCACGGAGACAGAGAGAAGTTTCTCAGCAAAGTCTGACAGGAAAAGGAAGTGTTTATTGAACCTAGTCCAGAAATACAATGCACAAACAGAGGCTCACCACAAATGTGACTATTGCTAAGAAGGAAAAAAAACTTCTTTAGTCAAGAAAGAGTGGCCCTACATAGAAAGAACACAGGAAGAATACGTGAACAGTGGCACTTCAGCCAAAATAAAATATGTGTGTACAATATGTCTACACTTAAGTAAATTGAGTAAATTGAACTAACTCCATTCATGTTGTTGACCTCAAAATGAGTGTTTTGACATATAATAGTTGCACTAACTCAATATAAATAGGTCACTGTGACTTATGGGAATTTTGTCACAGTAACTGAAATCCACTACCTTTGCACAAATTTGCCCACTCAAGTTAAACTAACTCTATTAGTCTTTTATTAGCCCAGCAACTTTTTTATCTATTAAAAAGCTAGGCAACTCAGTTGTGACAACTCAGCAGGTTATTTCAATTAAAGGTACAGTGTATAAGATTTATGAGGAGCTTTTAGCAGAAATCGAATACACACGCATATCATATAAACCGCTTATCCTTCTGAGTCATGGGGGGTGCTGGAGCCTATCCCAGCTGTCTTTGGGTGGAAGGCAGGATACGCCCTGGACAGGTCGCCAGGCCATTGCAGGGCAGACAGACATATACATCACACACATTCACGCCTAGGGACAATTCAGCATGTCCAATTGGCCTGACTGCATGTCTTTGGACTGTGGGAGGAAACCCATGCAGACACGGGGAGAACTTGCAGACCCTGGCTGCCCAACCACGAATCGAACCCAGGCCCTTCTTGCTGTGAGGCGACAGCACTACCCACTGAGCCACCGTGCCGCCAGATATTGAATATAGTTTACAATTGGTGTAAAATCACCTGTAACTATGAACTGTTGAATTCTCCTTAGCTTAGAATGAGCCCTTCATACCTACATAGGGAGCAAGTTCTCTTCCAACAGACACCTTCCAATCTTACACACTGCACCCTTAAGGAAAGGAACAATTTTAACAATTTAACTTCATACTACTTGTCAAATGCTGACACAGTGCAAAGGCAGTCACTGCAGTGACCGCCACAGATTATTTGGGTGATCACTGACGTGGTGGTGACGTGTTAGTGTGTGTTGCTGCTGGAGTTTTTAAGTACTGTGTCCACTCAGCGTCCTGTCTATTAGACCCTCCTACCTTGTTGGTCCACCTTGTAGATGTAAAGTCAGAGATAATAGCTCATCTGTTGCTGCACAGTTTGTGTTGGTCACCCTCTAGTCCTTCATGAGTGGTCACAGGACACTACCCACAGGACACTGTTAGCATGTACCGTCTGTACTTTCCCTCATATGAAGCAAAGGGAGCAAAGTGGTGTAAAGAGAAGAGCGGCAAAACATTGTAGCACCAGAAAGACGTCTCTCACAGTCTTAAGATTTTATTTGAATGTAGAGAACAGTAAAGGGTAAAGTGATTGCTTGAGGTTTATTTGCCGTTATTTGAGGTTTGCCATCAGGTATGAATAGCAAGCAATCTAATCTTGCAGACTCATTTGAATATCCCCCAAGGAAACTCTGCTGCATGGCTGCTCAGCCACCACCATTCTATTTACTGAACTATAAATCAAAGTGGCAGTATAATTTTGTTTCTTTGCAAATGTATGTTCATTTAATGTGAAGATCACCACTTGAATTTGCAATTAAGTGTTAAAACAGTACAAAGATGAATGAAGGCCTAACAGTAAACTGATTAAATTATTTAAAAAGAATTGGTTTCCCAAAACAACATTAAGCCTAATCTTAGACTGAAAAGAATTTCCAGTAGAGGTTTACCACTGGCAATGCAATTTAGTCCAAGACTAGGCTTAATCCATGTCTGGGAAAGCAGTCCTAAATGTATTCCACAAATCCTTTCATTTGACTTTCAGTTCAATACTAACCTCACATTAATTTCAAGTTCACTGGGTAAAAATAAGGCAACCAGTTGTCCAACTCTTTTTTTTCTTGAGTACACGTACCATTAGAATTAACACACTTCTGAGAAGAACAGCAAGGGGGACAAACTGGTCAGTTTTTCAGACTATTGAACATGTTTTTGTTCTGTATTGCGGATCCTTTGTTTTCTCTCTCAGGCAAAAATCAAAAGGTGGCCAGCAGTAAAGATGACCTCAACAAAGAGGCCCATTGCCCCTGGCACAGGTCCAGGCTTGACTGCTCCAAGAACATGGGGAGTGAGCAGCACAGCCAAACAAAGTGCCAACATCACAATTAAAGACCACTTACACAATCAGCTCTAACAATATTGTGGGGAACCTTTCCCACGGTGCTCAGGTCCTGCACGAAAACAGACAAGCTTTATGCTGAGGGAGTATCTCAGTGCTGGAATGCTCAGCACAAACGAGAGGCACTTTGTTGACCAAGATGAATGCCAACAGGGACTACTTTAGTCCAGCAATCGTAAGTGTGGCCAGTTTGCCAGACATGCTAACGGTGGTAAACGGGGGTGAGACTTGAAGCCTAATGTGAGGCTTGAAATGTAGCAAATTCACTTAACTGAGTGACATCAACTATAGCCCAATCCCATTTCACCCCTTGCCCCTACCACTTAGCCCTTAGCCCTCTGTTTTGTGCGTTCACGCTTAGGAGTAGGGTGTCCTGATTTTTGTTGAGATGGAGGGGTAAGGCGAAGTGTTAGGGCAACATGGCCCTCCAAAGGGAGGTTTTTCAGATGCACACTTCAAACGGAGTGTTATCAGAAAAAAACGAAAAACAGTCAAGATGGCTGCGCGAGCGACCAAAGAAACCCACAAATGTGAGTATTTTCTCTGTTAAAAATACGATAACCGTTGTATTGTTGTAGTTTAATATTATTTTAATATATTATGGTCATTTTCTTCATAACAAGTGTAAAAATCCGCTAGTAGAATGCTAATGTCCTGGTGGCTAGCTAGCTAAATTTCCCATTCCACCTTAAATAGTCCAGCAGTACCGATGCCTGAAGAATGTAACGTAACTGCTGCACCATTTAAGGTGGAACGGGAAAACAAGAAGCTGGCGAATAGCTGACTTCAGCTTCATATCACCAAAGAATTAGTGGTGGGCAATAATAAATAATAATCGCATTCCCCCCTCTTTGAAAGCATATGATGCGCTAATTTAACTAAAGATTAGCAGCGAGGTTTCTGAACTTTACCGCTCGTCTGCTATTACTGCCTGCAGAGCAGCGCTAATAGCCTGTTAGTGAAGTCATGTTCTTTTGTGTTTGAGGGTTGTCCCATTTTGTAGGGGAAGATTTCAACCACTACCCCTTGTAACTCAGTTGACAAAGTGACATTTGAAAACAAGGGGTAGGGGTAAAAATAAGAAATGGGATTGGGCCATGTTCAAATGTTTGTAGACACCTTCCCATACAAGTGTTTCTCAAGTAAACAAGGTTATTAGTAAGTAGTTGGTCCATCTGCTGTGGCTACTCTTCAGAGAAGGCTACACAAGATGTTGGAACGTTGCTGTGATGATTTGATTGCTTTCAGCCATAACAGCATTAGTGAGCTCAGATACTTATGTTGGATGATCAGTTCAGGATCAGAAATTCCAACTCATCCCAATGGTATTGGATAGTGCTCCTTTACTTCATACAAAACCATACTGCTGCTCCACAGCCAAATGCTGAGGGGCATACACCCCTCTAGCCGATGATTGGCATTGGGAGTAGTGGCCTTAGGCTCATGTGCAGGTGCTCCAGAGAGTCCCATTGGCATTACTTTTCTATAGAGATGATACCAGCTGTTGACCTTAGAAGGGGCTTCTGGATTCTTCTGGACATACAGTTCAAGTGTTGGATGTTCATGAATTATGTCTTATCACAACACTTGAATGACAAAATGTCAGATAATTTGGTGCTTGGTGAAACAGCTGGATGTGTATGCAACATGCTCAGGAGTGTTGATACAGTTGCATGTTTCACAGAAGGAGGCTTCACCTCATGTGACTGTAAAACAGCATGTGACGGAGATTGCGGAGCAGAGAGCAAAGGGGTTAAGTAGAAAAATTCTGGATGAGAAAAGGGGGCCAGAAAATGTGTTTGTGCTTGAGAGCAAGGGGCGTGAGAGGGGGAGAGACAGTGAGAGAGAGGGGGAGCTAAATAGAGAGAAATAGTCTGGTTAAGTAGTATCAGAGATGCATCAGTGCTACAACTCGTGTTCACAACAATGACGGTAAGAAGGACAATGTACAGTATTTATAATGTAGTAAATGGTCTTGTATTGGTAAATTCTAGCATATACTTCATATTCTGATAAAGCATCAGGTTACAGAACATTGTGATATGCCTTTCAACAGAATTTGAATAACTGAGAACTTTGCATACCAAATGTCAGGATGTTAGCAGTAATGTAAGCAATGTGTACTTTCAGCACTCCGCTGTTTTAAGTTTTGTCTCTTTTGTTATGCTATGTTTATTTACAGCTAAGTAAGTACCTTAGTTTCATTTCAAAAGTGACTACAGTAAATGAGTGTTGGTGACACACGTTGCCCAGAGATGTTTTCATTATCCTAGGAGTTATCAATAAGATGATCAAATTTCTTTGACTCTTTTACGGCATGATTGGTGCCCAAACATATTGAAACCATTGTTACTGTTTTTCATCCTTCTCTGTATTTGGAAGGAGTATGTCAAAATGTTGACTTACTAGCTCAAAATAATGACTTATTTTCTCAAAATATTGACATAGTACATCAAAATAGTGACAGTACTTCAAAATAGTGATAATTTCTCAAAATATTGACTTACTATGTCAAAAAATGATTTAGTATCTTGTATAGCTTACTATATTGGAATAATGATTTATTTTCTTAAAATATTGACATGTTGAAATGATCACTTTCTGTGTTGAAACAATCACTTATCATCTTGTAATCTTACTTACTATATCGCAAGAATAACTTATTTTCTAAAAAATGTCAACTTAGACTTGGTATCTTGTAATAATGGCTTATTATGCCAAAATAATGACTTACTTTCTTGAACTTTAACAACTATTTTGACAGTAACTTAAAATCACAAGAATATCAGTCATTATTTTGAGATATTAAGTCAATATTTCAAGAATTTCAGTTATTGTTTTGAGATATTAAGTCAAGAATTCTCAAGAAAAGAAGTCATTGTTTTGAGACAGAAAGTATTTCTACATATTGCTGCCAGAAACTAAAAAAGGGACAATTTTTTTCTCCTCTATCTGGTGAGAATAAGCTTGCATACATGTGTATCCACATAAACATTTGCCACTTTTTTTCTGTGGTATGAGTAGAACCGATCAGAGACTACGCTTCTAAGTATCCCGGGAAACAGCACTACACTATAAAGTTGCAAAAGGTCTTAACCACTTGCTACATTTGGAAAGTGAAACTATAATGTAAATCACAAAGACACAGCAGGCAGGCAACACACTGAACACCAAGTGTGTCCAGGAAAGTAATCTTTCAGGAAATGAGTTTGCCGGGGGCTAAAACTCATGTAATTTCCCGCTCCTGACCAAAGTTTTATTTGTCTTCTGGCTTGCATTCCTTCTAACAAGGAGACTGGCTTTTAGAGAATGTTTAAGCTCCTTTTTCAGTTTCTCTAGCAGCTGAAAGTCACAAGCTCTTTTAGAGGCTCCTCAGGCCAGCAGGGATTCAACTAAGTGACAAATAAGGCCATTATACTTTGCCAAAAAGCTCTGATGATACTTGCCTAAATCATTCAAAATTCTAGTTGACCAAACTATCATTTGGTATCAAGGTGTTTTTTCCCTCAGCATGTTTCATGTTTTTTTGTTGAGGTTTTATTTCTGTTTTCCTATTCTAGGGCACAACGAAAGAAGGATAACAGCTTTGGAGTGAATGAAGGAGAAACGACACGGACAGAAAGGTCAGAGGTCTTTTGAAAAGCTCACAAAACTTTGAAGTTACAGTACATTTAGAATAGTGGCATAACTAAAATCATGTGAAAAAAATTCTCTATGAATAAATTTAAAAAGAAACTACAAGTACTTTCTTTACTCATTACTGCTATATCTTCGCCTCTTTTCACAGAAGCATAAAATGCAATTGCCATCAGTTTTGGAGGTCCCTCATTTTTTGTACTATGCATTTTTTCCCCTTCAGTAACGCTCAATAACGCTGTCTTTGTGCAGATGTGTGAATCATTTTCCCAGCAGGGGGATCTGCTCTTTCATTCCTCATTGCTCGTTAGCAGCTCAACACAGATTCACAATATATAACACACAGAGAGCCAACAGTGTCCGGGTTAATCTGATAACAGTATAATGGGGGAAAATGTTTTATATGATTATATTATTTAAAAATATCTAAGTCAATTTTCCATTTTGCTGGTGGATGGCCACAAGGTGGTCTTCAGAAAGTGTTCAAACATGTTGCTGCTCTAATGTTGGCTAAAAGTATTATGTTTTTACAATTTCAGTTCAGTTTATTTACTAGTAATATGTTGGTTAACACAGGGTCAACAGTACAGTGAAATGTGCTACATAAGAAAAGCAGGTCAGCTCAGCACTGCAACAAGTCACATAAAAAATACAATATAAAAGAAAAATTTAAATAATGATGGAATGATATATAAATAAAACAGAATCTTACACTATAAACATAAAGAGGATTAATGTCAAAAAGTAAAGTGACAAGTGTTGCATGTTGGGTATGTGTAATGTAACAGCAATCATGTCCTGGTTCAGTAACAGTCATGGTTGATTTTGATGTAAGCGGTGTGGTAAACAGTGCAGTGAGTAGTTGACAGTGCAGATGTAGTCAGTGTAGACAGCAATATTTAGATTATGAGTTGAGTGCAACTCAATCAGTGAAGACAGGAATATTTAAATTATGAGTTGAGGAGCCTGAAGGCATGAGTCTTGATGCATAGGTCATGGGTCATAAGTCATAAATTAAGATCCATAAGTTGTAAGTCATGACACCTAAGTCATGGATGGCAAAAATGTGTAAAAAGCAGAGGATAAGAGGTCCTTCAAAGACATTAGCCCTCCATGACCCCCACCAGCACAGCCAGTAGTTATTGCTGATTTCTAAAATAATATAAATACATTTCTAATTCATTTGTGTTTTTAAATTACAGGTAGGGAGGACCTAAGGCAATGATGAACGTGACAGAAGATTACAGAAGAGTTGTCAGCTACAGCTTCAGCTATGGCCTCTTTAACATCACCTCAGAAAACACCACAATCACTAGTGGATTCCAGCACCCCATCTCTCAAGCCATGGACAAGGCCATTAACATCATCACCATCATCATCCTCTTCATCACCATGATCTCCCTTGGCTGCACCATGGAGATCGCCAAAATCAAGGCCCACATCCTCCAGCCGAAAGGTGTACTAATAGCTCTGGTGGCTCAGTTCGGCATCATGCCTCTCACTGCCTTCTGCCTGGCCAAGGTCTTTCAGCTGGGGCCCATCGAGGCGGTCACTGTGCTGATCTGTGGATGCTGTCCTGGTGGGAACCTCTCCAATATTTTTGCTTTCGCTCTCCAGGGGGACATGAACCTAAGGTAATTTGAACAGACTTACTTCAGTGGTTCATATTTATCAAGGGCTTTATGGAAGGTCTTCATTAGGACTTAAAAGGCACACATAACACTGAGTTGCCAGCTTATTGGTTATGCTTACATGGGGCATATTTTAATAATTACCTTTTATCACACTATCACTTTTATCACACTTTACAATAATAGGATATTATTTAAGAAAAAAACAATCTATGTAGTGTTCGGAAGTGCTGATGGTAACACATCTTGGGAATTTCTGTCTTTGAAAAAGCATCCCTAATGGGCTTTTGTATAATGGCACAGCAGTATTTTGGAAGTCTTAATGTCCATCATGTCTTTGGTTCTCCCAAGAGTTTTTTTTTTTGGCCAGGTGGTAGACGCTTGGTACTCCAGCTATCACATTCAGTTATGCAAGGGAAGGATAGTGAACTGTTACAGCCAACTGTGAAGATGCTCAGAGCAATAACACACAAAAAAAGCTGTACAAACAACAAATAAAATGTGGGGTCTCAGTGGGACAGTGTAGTGTGAGCTTGTGAAAGCAAAGCTACTCTGCGGATCTAATAAATCTCTGGCGAAAATGTGACTTGTTTGACTAAAATGCAGTGATCGTATTTCATTGTGTCCATGACAACAACATCAGAGTTGAATTTATTGGCACATGTCTAACCGACATTCATTGACCATTTTATCAGAAACACTAACCATGTAGGAGCATTATGTAAATTTACAGTTACTGATTTGCTGTACAATTTATCAGCCCCCTCTACACCATCCAACAGAAAGGAACCATTGGACCACCACTGACCAGTTTATTTTTAATAGTGGACTATTCAGCATAACAGTGGGATAGGAATAGCGGTACTACAGTCAGTAATTGCATACCTACAAAGAGCACCTACAGTCACATGCAAAAGTTTGAGCTCCCCTGATCAAATGATGTTTTGTTAATTTAAGTAATCTAAGTGAAAATATGTCACACATCCTTTACAGAGAACATGTGCACATGTTTGCATAGTTACTGTGTACTGAATGTAGTATACTACACACAGTAAAACATAAAATGTGGCTTGTGCAACAGTTATGGCACATTTTATGTTTTATGTTTTATTTCCAGTGATACCAAAACTCTCTCTTCCACAGTATTGTGATGACCACATGCTCCACAGTCACGGCACTGGGCGTGATGCCCTTACTCCTTTATCTATACTGCCAAGGGTTCTCTGGTCTGGAGAATGCTGTTCCCTATGCTGGTATCATCATTGCCCTCATCATGACCTTAGTGCCCTGTGCCATGGGCATTGCCATCAACCACTGGGCTTCACGTTACTCACAAATGATAATAAAGGTATGTAAGTAAATCAGAGGGGGGGCAGATGTCCATCTGTTTCTTGGACATAGGCTTTTATCATACGACAACCTGAGCTAGGCATAAAGTTATATTAAAGGGTAAATGTATTGCTAGCGATAATTTTCACTGTGGTTCCTGCTTAAAGGAGAATTCCTCCCATTTTTCAAACTTTCTGCCTAATTCAATTCTTGAGATGTAAACAAAGCCATTCACAGTGGTTTGATGTGAAATGGTAGAGAAAGTTACCAGTTCTTTGCAGTGGTGGTGATGGGAACCAGGGGTCACAATTTCTACATCTCAAATATAGTAATTTTATTTACTAAAAAAACACTCTCTAGAACGATACCAATGAATATGCAGAATTCCACTTTAAAGAATTGCTTAAACTTCAAGCAGAATGTGATTGCATGTAGGAGGACAGAATGAAGGATACATGATGTTTATGTCTTCTACAGGTTGGCCTTAGCATCTTGCTAATAGCTTCTGTGGCGATCGGCGTGATGTCCGGCGTCGCTCTTGGTGGAATGGTGTGGTTAGTGCTCTCTCCACAGCTCATGGCAGTGGCCTCTCTCATGCCTTTAATAGGCTACCTGCTCGGGTACATCTTGTCAACTCTCTTCAAACAGAACGGCCAGTGAGTACTGAGTATGTCTTTTTAGAAAATCTGAAAATGTAAGTTTTCAATAATGCACAACTAGGTTACTTAAATTAAAGGACGCATTTAGGTTGTTTAAAATGTCTGAAAGCAGGGGTGTACAACTCTGGTCCTGGAGAGCTGGTGTCCATAGCTTGGTAGTTTCCCTACTCAAACACAGCCACTAAACCTGGTAATTAACCGATGAGTTTGACTCAGATGTGTTTGAACAGGTAAATCATCAAACTGGGCACCCCTGTCTTAAAGTGGAGCTCATTTACATATATCAGTCCTAAAGGCACAGTAACAAAAAACAGCCTTTTTAATTATAAGGATTAAAGAGAGGTTGGAAAATGGCCACTTTTGGTACATACAACCACACAACTGTTATAAATGGCTCCTTAACGCTCCCAATAAACTGCATTTTGAGCATTTTACATCCGCTTTCAAATCCAGCTTTCATACATAAGTCACTCTAAATGCTAAATCTAGCATGGTTGACCAGTTTGATTACAAAGAAAGGCAGACTGGACAATTCCAGTTTCTGGGTCTCTCTCCAGGTGCAAGAGGACCATTGCTGTGGAGACCGGCTGTCAAAACATCCAGCTGTGCTCCACCATTCTGAAAGTGGCATTCCCTCCAGAGGTCATTGGGCCGCTGTTTCTCTTTCCCCTAATTTACATCATATTCCAGGGTGGTGAGGCTCTGCTCTTCATCATCCTCTTCAGATGCTACCAAAGGTGTAAAGCCACAACCGAAGGTAAGTTATCCTGTCTGTTAAAGGAACATATAAGAGTAGAAAAAAATAGAGGCTGGCCTGGAAGGACTTTGAGTACTCCATCTACAGACGTAGCCTTTGTCTGGTCAACAACTGAAGTGGGCTGATGTAATTAATATTTTAATTTAACATTACCTGAAGGATGCATCTCTGATACACTACAGTTCAAAAGCTTGGGATATAGTTTTAACGATATTAAACTAAACTGGTTGCAGACAAAGCTAGGAAATGACTGAGCTTCACAGGTTCAAATAATTAGCAGGACACTAGGAAGCCATAAAAACACATCCAAGAAATGTTAGATGTCTCCAGAATGATAAAGAATTGTAGATGATGCTAAATTGAAAGAGAAATCTGTATAGCATTAATTTTCATAATTAAGCTGAAAGAAATTATTAATGACAAATAACATACTGTAATGATCTATTAATATAGAAAACTACAGTGTATTATTTATTATTTAGTAAGCTCTTGGTCCTGAAATATTGAATAACACTTCTAAAATATACTATATGTCCAAAAGTTAGACACCTGCTCATCCAACGCTTGTTCTGAAATCAAGGGTATTAAAAGGGAGTTTGTCCCTGTTTTACTGCAGTAACAGCCTCTACTCTTCTGACAAGGCTTCACATTAGATTGCTGTGAGACTTTGATTGCATTTAGCTACAAGAGCATTAGTGAGGTCAGGCACTGATGTTGGATGTTAGTTCTTTTCATCCTGAAAGTATTAGATGGAGCTCCATCACTCCAGGGAATACAGTTCCATTGCTCCCCAGGCCAGTCTGGGGGGGCTTTATATGCTTCTATACTCAATATGCTCGGCATTGAGTATAGTGACCTTAGGCGCTTGTGCAGCTGCTCCAGCGCGTCCCATTCTATTGATGATGCATTGCTATGAAGATTAAACAAGCTGTGTGGAATTGAACCCCTGTGTCAGTAATGGTTGCTGAATAAACTCTTTAGAAGCGGTGTCTGAACTGTAACATTGAATCAATGATTTTTATTATCATGTAGTTATTATTGTATATAAAATAATAAAAATGGTTAATGTGATAAGTGGTTCCAAACTTTTGAATGGTAGTGTATACTCATGATCTTCAAGAAGCCATATATTAATAGAGGTAGCTGCTTCAGTCATCAGACTAACACCATATGCTGGTAATGTGTTTTCTTTGGCATTTCTGACAGAAAAAAATGCATATCTGGCAGTTGACAAACCTGAAGAGACAGTCCACTGAACTTGAAGGATTCTGCTTCTGACCACTAAAGATGACCAAACGCAACAAAAAAACAAGCAATAAGAATTCAGAGAATGTAGAGCATGTGAAGCAACCACAGTACGTTGGTTTCAGTATCCTGTTAAAAGCCTTTGTACTGACTGATGTGATGTGTGATTTGAAAACCCTCTTTGGGCATTTTGGAACTTTTACTTTAATTGTTACAAAAATGGTGCAGTCTTCCTTGTAGTATTCTACAAAACCAGGGTTGTATTAGACACTTCCTTTCTTTTTGTCTTAAGATCTGACAGGTCAAGATAAGGTGTTTCACAAATCCATATTGTAGAAGCTAAACTTATCTTTATTTTTTATTATACAGCTAAGCTATGCTATTTAATTTAGCAGTGCTATTTGACAAGTGTAAAACTTGTGTAAATAACACTGATTTTACCAACTGAAACCACAAAGAATATATAAATGTTAAATGCAGTATTTTCACTATGAAACACATTGTCAACTGTTTGTGGTTTAATTGTCATAAAATCCAATAAAAGTGGAAGTTAAGAATATTGTGTTCCCCCTTGCTGTTTATCAGTGTCACCGTTCAGTTTCAGTTTCCATTTCCCAAATGCTTACAGACACTTTCAGCTCCATCTCCTTATTATTCACCACCATCACTGTAAATTTTTATTTGATGAGTTTTCATCATCATTAACACATTGAAGGTAATAAGAGAGGATGGTGGAGATCATGTCTGCAGTGTCTCAAAACCACAGTTTTGCAATATAGATTATGTGTAATGTATGAGTTGCCTCATAAACAGATGGTTACAACACATCTGGAATTGTCCTAGTCAGGACAGTATTTAAGAAAATTTTGTCTAGTTAGGATGTTTCTGTAATACTGTTTTGAGTTAACAGGTAAGATTACAACTTAACAATTGTTGTTCTGTTATAGGTCCTGACCTGAATTCAGTCCTAAGTGAAGTTGTCATGGTGACTCAACAGATAATATAGGTGAACAGAGTTAGGATATTTTTGTAGTACGGCCTCTGGACTATAAAATGGATGCCCAAACTTTTTGTCTTGGGAGGCCAAAGTGCAATGTTTGCACAAAAAATTACACAAATGGATCTGCTGACATTACACTATAATTTTATACAAAATTACTTAAATACAAGTTTATAAGGAAAATTAGACTTTGATATATATAGAATAAAAATGTTTGTTCTCTCTTTGGGTGCAGAGTTGGGGTTAGGGAAACGTTGTGGTGGGCCAAATCAGACATCCTCACAGGCTAGCTTTGGCCAACACAACACATTTAGGGCAGCCCTGCTAAAAAGTATCACACCTGGAAACCTACTTGCAATCAATTCAATTGCGTTTTTCCTATATTCTTGTCTACTGAATGTTTCTGTAAAATAATAAGGTGTTGGCATTGATTGGTGTCGCTGAAAGAACAATGCAAAGCCGTAAACAGATTTGCACAATTAAAACAATATTTAATCAGAAATCATCACAAGTTATTTACAATGCAGAGATAAATTAAACCTTTGTACAAACATAAAATACTACGCCTTGCAAATCACTTCATTCTGTTCCAAAAGAAAAGCATACAGTACAGAACTCCACTTTTTTGGTATTAAATAAATCCATTTACATTAAGTTATGCGTTTGCTCCTGCAAAAGTATCAGTTTCTCCTTCAGCGAAGCTAGGAGACATTACAGCTCACTTCTCCCTGCACAAATACAGATGTATACAAAAGTTTTGACACCCCTGGCCAAATTACATATTTTGAAAAGAAGCAACAATCTCTACAATCACCAAAGGTACATTTGGAGGAAAAAAGGAGCAGCATTTGATGAAAAGAACACTTTGCCAACTGTTGAGCATGGGGTGGATTATGCTTTCAGGTGATGTGGCAGCCAGTGGCACAGGAAACACTGCATGAGTAGACAGAAGAATAGATTCCACAAAATATCAGCAAATTCTGGAAGCAAATGTGACACAGCCAGTCAAGAACCTGAAGCTGGCTTCTACAGAAGGGCAATGATCCAAAACATACCTCAACATCCATTATTAACTACTTCAGGAAACAAAATGGAATTGCAAAGACCCTCACAGTCCCCTGACCTGAACTGAAAATCTGTTGGTAGATCTCAAACGTTCTGTGGCTGCCTCAAGATTGCTTAAGAATACTGCTGCAGAGGTTGTGTGTACTTCTTTTCACTTCTAAAATCAGCGAAAATTGCAACTGTGCCAGGGGTGCCAAATGTTTGCATACAACTGTACAACATAACTGTACAATGCTAATCAATAGCACTTCATGTACAAAGCCCATTTTTTTCAGATCACTAAATAAATTTCTCAAATACACAGTAAAATGCAAAGGTAAAACATAAAAAACAAAGCCTGCCGTATTGTCAAATCAAGCACACTCACCCGTGCTGTAAGATGCTATGAGAAAAGTAAACATTTGTTTAACGTTATGCAAATCCCTACACGAATGCAGCCTAACTGCTTATACAGCTAGTTTATAGATGACTGCCGCAGAGAAACGTCACTGTGCCATTCAATAGTCCAATTTGCATCTTTTCACCCTCCCATAGTCCCATCCCAAGCCTTTTTAAACATAAGTGACAAATGACATGCGTTATTACTTAATCAAGAGAAGATTTTGATAATGCATGCTAAATTGTCACGTGTCCAGTAGCCAATTATCAATCAGAGAGAAATTTACTCTTAACTAACGGCAATGACAAATGAAAAGACGGGGAAAACACTGAGGGTAGAAATAGCCCTTTTTACGGTGTGGCAGGGTGTATCACCATAAAGATTTTTTTTTTCCAGATGCGACTAAACAGCTAGAATAGAGTGGGATGAAACATTCAATCAAGTCTTTAAAACAAATTAACAAAAAAGAAGAAGAAAAAAAACCCTCAGTGCTAGCAAGAGTGTCCATGCATCATTTACAAAGTCAAGTGGTAGGGCCATTCGATCCCAGAAATTCTGGGGTTGACTCAGATTCCAAGTGACGGGAATCGAAAGAGTCAATTCCATGAGTTGATTCCACAAAATAATGTTCTTGATTTTAAAAATGATTCCAAAAATCAGCACATAAGCCTCTTTTCAGTCAGTAATTATCAGAAAGGAGTGAAGTGTGAACACAAGCCAGAGAGAAAATGCTGGTAAGACTGATGAGGCAATTTACTTGCACTACATCCAGTACAATTACCGTAAAAATGACCAGGAGGGCTCATAACTAAACAGAAGCTGAAACAGTACTGGGACACTCAAGATTTTCTTGACTGATGCCAGGAAAGCTGATTTATGATGCTTTTGTTTTTACAATATTGAGTTTTCAGGTTTTGCAAATGAAAAACATCACGGGAGTGTATCCTATACATGATTATAGGAGCATACTGCTTGAGGGAAGCGGGAAAAATCTGCCCCTTGAGCGTGCATGGCTGCTACGGCACAAAAGCGACACAGCATGACCAGCAAAGCGGAGCATTTCTGTGTGGCTTATTGACTGTAAGCCACTTTTTGGCACAAATTTTACACTTTTTCCACATTGTTCAAAGTACAATACAGACTACTGACTCATGTGCTGGAAAGCTGCTTTTTTTTCCCCCCATAGAGGCTGTTTAGACAGCAACAGCAGAATATCTCACAAGCGTGCACAAGTGCACACAAATTTATCCAAAGCTGTGGAATAGACTCTCAATTCCCAATTGAATCGGACTAGAATCGGAGAATCGGCTCTTTTTTGGGATCGACTCCCAGCCCTATCGAGTGGTGTTCTGCATGTGCACACACGTGGTGGTGGTGGTGGAGGGGGCGTGTATGTGTAATTTCTTCAAAATGTGATAATTGTGGTCTTCGTTTCAGAACATATAAAACCCCACAGAACAATGTGTTCAATAACAAAATAATATTTAAATGCCAAGTAAGGCCTTTCATAAATCTTTCACTCTCTGTACAGTGTTGTGTCTCTCTGCTACGTGTCCAACTTTGTAGACCTGAAGGATACAAAGCAAGCGTCCGAAATGGTGCAGGATTTGACCATGTATGATGTATATGCAAAAATATGGGAGTTCTTGACAGGACAGTATTGGAGGTGCCTGTTAGGCATTGGGCCTGCCTAGTTGAATATCACCTGAGATGGGCTGGGCTGTGGTAGGGGTGCAGCACAAAAGGGGATCACAGCAGTCAGGTCTGCAGGGTTGCAGCCTTTGTGGTCCCAGCATACAGACTGTGTGGGAACCTATGGGAGTCCAGGAGCTCTCACGATTCCTTTAATAGGGGAATGTCTGCAGGGAAGAATGTAGAAATATCAGTCATTTGTCTTGACAACATAGTGTTTTACAAACCCATTTCCAAAAACCATTGAGACACTGTGCAAAATGTAAGAAAAAACAGAATGCAATGATGTGCAAATCATTTAAACCCTGGAAATAGTACGAAGACAACATACGAACATACGAAATCACTGCATGGGCTCAGTAACACTTCCAAAAAGTGTTTGTCAGTTTGTCACCACAAATGCAAGTTAAAACTCTGCAAAAACCCTTACCGTGCAAAGAGAAACCATATATAAACAGGATCTAGAAACACTGCTGCCTTCTGTGGGCTCGATCTCATTTAAGATGGACTAAGGCAAAGTGGAAAAGTGTCCTATGGTCTGACAAATCAAATTTTGAAATTATTTTTGGAAATCATGGACACTGCATTCTCCAGGCTAAAGAGGAGCAAGACCGTCCAGCTTGTTATCAGCACACAGTTCAAAAGCCAGCATCTGAGATGGTATGGGGGGCATTAGTGCACATTCTAGCATCTGTGCACAATCTGTGAAGGCACTATTAATGCTGAACAATGTACACTGGTTTTGGTGCAACATATGCTGCCAACTAGATGACATCTTTTTAGGACGGCCTTCTACATTCTGCACCTAACATGGCTCTGTAGTAAAAGAGTCCAGGTGCTAAAATGGCCTGTCTGCAATCCAGATCCATCAAACATTAGAAACATTTATGAAACATTATGAAACAAAACATGACAAAGGAGACCCCGAACCATTGAGCAGCTGAAATCCCTTATCATACAAGAATTGGAAAACATTTCACTTGTTAAAAGAAGAGGTGATGCAACACAGTGGTAAACTGTCCCAACTGCCATCAAATTCAAAATAGGTATATATTTTTCAAAGAACAATAACAGAATGAATTTTTCAGTTTCAACATTTGATGTGTTTTCTTGGCACCATTTTCAATTACATATAGGGTTTAAATGATTTGCCTATGATTGCATTTGTTTTTATTTACATTTTGCATTGTGTCTCAACTTTTTTGGCAACAGGGCTGTTGTTGAGATACAGAGCACAGACAGAAAGATGCAGAAAAGCATGCCTACCATCAGCCAGGTCCTGCTCTGGACTGTGTAGAGACAGCATATTGTTATGCTGACTGTTTTCAGGGTTCTGGTATTGTAATGCTGTGGATGCTGCTGTCGCCCCTTGCACAGCATCCAAGGACCAGGAGGAGGAGGAAGATGAAGAGGAAGGTGGC